ACAGACACCTTAATTCTGGGGTATTTATTTACTTAGAGACAGGGCTCACTATGTTGTTCCACCTGGCCTGGAACTCACTATGTAAACCAGGCTGGCCTCGAACTCATAGAGATCTGCCTACCTCTGCCTCCCCAGTGCTGAGATTAAAGGTGTGCCACCACACCTGGGTAGGAATAATTTATTTTCAAAACAGCTTTAAAATTTTAAAGTTTCTGGGCAACTAGAGGAGTTCTTTTATACCACCCCAGCCCACACAGTTTTTCCTATTAGTAATGTCTTATTAGTTAATGCATTTGTTAAAATTAATGAGTCAATATTGGCATATTCATTAAAGTCTATAATTTACATTATAGTCCATTTTTTTCTTTTTGAGAGCAGTTCTCATACACTTCAGCCTGGTCTTAAACTCACTATGTACCTAACGGTATGATTGGTGGCATTAGGCATCCAGAAGGAAGGAAGCCTGGGAAACAGTCTCACCTTTCAGCCTCAGCAGCTCAGGAAGAAATACTAGAAGGTATAGGAATGGTGCTACGTGCCATCCCTGCACATCAGCCCACAAAGAGAGCTCATTGGATGGGTGTGGCGGTATTATCTACAACACATGGGTAAAAAAGCTCAGCCAGTACAAAATGGGGTCAAATGAAAGTACAGCTTCCTTCCTGCTGGAGATGTAGATATTCTGGAAGTTTTAAAAAGTTATTTTTAAAAAAGATTTGTTGTATATTTTTAACAAAATTATTCTCATTATTTTAAAGCGTGTGCGTTTAGGTATACACATTTGAGTGAAGGTGGTGGCAGAGGCCAGAGGAGTCTGGTATCTCTGGACCCGGACATTATTCTTTCTGGCTCAGTCAACTAGAGCAAGAAGCATAGGAGTGAGCCAGTCCCAGGTATTAGGTGATGGGCTGTGGCTGACCACCCAAGGATGGGTCATAGTGTATGCAAATGAGGGAAGCCCTGAGTGGTTGGCATTGGGTCCTGGAAGGTATTGGTAGTGGCTAATTTTGATTGGCAGTGCCATTTCATGTTCTCCTGTTTGCAGTCTGAGTGGAGTAGATGCTGGAGGGGTGTATTGGGGGGTATTGGTGGTATTCTTTTCTTTATTTCTTTCTTTTTCATTTGATTGTTTTTAGACAGGGTCTCATTATATGCTCTGGCTGTCCTTGAACTCACAGAGATCCACTGCATTTGCCTCCTAGATTAAAGACTAGGAATGCTTTCATAAGCTTGTATTAGAGATGATTCCCTCTCTGGTCTCTCAGCCACAGCCTTCCCTCCACATTCCCGACGACAGAGCAAAGACTCCAATCTTGGAAAGGGGGTTGGAAGTCTTCAGGACTTCTTCAAGCTGATGGGGGATGTGCTGCCTCCACCTATTGTCGGCTACGTGGAGTTCTATGGAGGGCGGTGGAAAGAGAGCCCTAGTTAGGCGTGGTCTTGGTAGCTGTTCTGTGGTGCTTGGTCAGGGGCTTGGGGCAGGGCTTCTGATGGGGCTCAAACCCTTGCTGAAGCATCATCTGGGGACCAAATTGTTGAATCCTGTGTGATGTAGCAGGGAGGTCCTCAGATGAATGTGCCAGTCTCAGGAGGGCTGGCTACAAGAGAAGGGAGGACCCAGGCTTGAGAATATGTACATGAGCTGATAGCTGCTTTTTATCTCAGGAAGAAATAAAAAAGACAGTTAGAAAACTAGAAACAAGGCCAGGCGGGGTGGCACACTCCTAAAATCCCAGCACTCAGGAGACATAGGCAGGTAGATCTCTGTGAGGTTGAGAAGTCAGCCTGGTCTACAGAGAGTTCCAGGACAGGCAGGATCTCATAGAGAGACCCTGTCTCAAAAGAAAGAAAGAAAGAAAGAAAGAAAGAAAGAAAGAAAGAAAGAAAGAAAGAAGAAAAATAGAAACTACAGCCATGCCCACTGCTGTCTCCAAAGTTACTAAAAAACTTGTTTTCTTTCTATTCTAGTTCAAAGAATGAATTCTTTCACCAACCCATCAATTGTTTGTCACACTGACAGCACAGGAGGAGAAATTTCACTTCTCTTATTTTCTCCATCTAGAGACCCTGAACAGTTGCACTGTGTATGCATGGAGTTATCAGAAAGCCTCTGGCTGGGTCGCTCCTTGTGGGCCACAAGACTCCCTGGTCAGCTCTCTCTAGCCACAGTGCTCCCCTGAGCGATGAGGGATCCATCCACTCTAGGAACTTTTGCTGTCTGCTCCAGGTCTGGCCCAGCAACTCTCTGGTGAAATCTACAGGGCTCCTTATTCTTACAGATGACTCTGTTGCCCCCAGAGGTGACGGACACAGTGTCTTCAACTCAAACACAGGGGAAAGCACTGCTTTCTTTTTGTTGTGGTGGGTTTTGTTTGTTTGTTTGTTTTATTGTCAATTCATTTAGTTACTGAGACAGGATCTCTCTACCCTTCTCTCTCTTCCCTCCCTCCTTTTTCTCTCTTTCCTTTTGGGGTCTGGGATATAACTGGGGTCTGTGGATATTAAGCAGACCCTCTGTGACTGAACTGCTCTCCCAGCCCCCCCTGCTGGCACTTTCTTTGATGGACTGTTGTCTCAAGGCAATTAACGGGGTTTCTGTCTGTTGCAAGTTTCTCCTTAGAGATGAGATTGCAACCAAGTCCTGGCAGCTCACCTCCATGGTGGCTCATCTGAGGACTGATGGAAACAACAGAAACAAAGATAGTGGATGATTAATTGGAGACCTTTTAGCTTTGGGTAAGGCTTGATCCAGTGACTAAATGATATATTTAAGGACATAGTACCATGGTCTCTCTCTTCTGTTCTTAGTCTTGACTTCATTCTGGCTTCTTCTAGTGACCTAGGTTGATTTGTACTCATCCACCAGGGAATACAGGAATTGGTTTTGTTGCTGCTGTTGTATTTTGAAAGAGGTTCTCCTAGAGTCCAGGCTGGCCCATAACTTTCTATGAGAGGTTGATGGCTTTGAATTCCTGATCCTCTGCCATGGGGGCTATAGTGGCACATCTGGCTTAAGGTGAAATCAAGGCTTCTCCCATACCCACACCCAAAAAAGAAGAGTGAAGGGCTGGGAAGAAGATCAGTCAGTGAAGTGTGTGCTGCATGAGAGGGTGAACCCCTTAAAGATGGAAAGAGTGAACTGACTCCACAAAGATGTCCTCAGAACTCACAACACACACACACACACACACACACACATACACACATACACACACACCCCACATACATACACATACACACATTCACATATCATACACACACTCTCATACATACACATACACACATACATGCACACACATACACATACACACATGTACACACCACACACACACACACACACACACACACACATGAGAAAGGAAGAGTAGATTAATTTTGGAAACTCTAACCACAGAATTTCATTTTTTTTTTTTTGGTTTTACGAGACAGGGTTTCTCTGTATTATTTTGGAGGCTGTCGGTCCAGCCTAGCCTCGATCCGCCTGCCTCTGCCTCCCGAGTGTTGGGATTAAAGGCGTGCGCCACCACCGCCCGGCGAATTTCATATTTTTTTCTGTTTAAATTTTCTTTTATTTTAGCTATCTGTTTAAAATTTCCACAACTTGCTTTTGTCTTTTCTTTCATGGCTGCTTTGCTGTTTTATGGATATAGTAATATTAAAACTTCGCTTTTTCATAAACTCCTTTTTGTAATTTGTATTATGTTTGGATTCGCCTTTTGTTTGCAGGTTCTTTTGCAGTCCGTGTAGCTGGGTAGCTCAGAGCTGGGCTCAGGAAATGGCTGTTGGTGTCCACATTCCATTCCTGCCTGGCTGTTGCACAAACCCCAGCTCTGGGTTCTTTACCTCCCTGTGACTCAGCTTCCTGTGAACGGAGATGATAGTACACGCTGGTTCAGAAGTTCCTCCATGTACCCTGCTCAAAATGCTGCCAGGCCACGCCAGGCACTATGCCCTCAGTAGTTATCTGCTATCATTTCTTCTTCTTCTTCTTCTTCTTCTTCTTCTTCTTCTTCTTCTTCTTCTTCTTCTTCTTCTTCTTCTTCTTCTTCTTCTTCTCCTCCTCCTCCTCCTCCTCCTCCTCCTCCTCCTCCTCTTCCTCCTCCTCCTTCTTCTTCCCTTCCTTCTTCCCTCCCTCCCTCCCCCTCCCCCTCCCTTTCTCCCTCTCCCTCTCTCCCTCCAGGCTGGTCTCAAAATCACAATTTTCCTGCCTCAGCCTCCCTCCCAAGTGCTGCTATAGGCATGAACTACCATGCTCGTTTGTTTTGATATAAGGTCCCACGTAGCTGGTCCTGAACTCCCAATCCTCCTGCCTCAACGCAGGGGTCACAGCCATGCATTTCTACACCCAGCTCCCCTTTCACTCACTTCAGAATCCTTCTCCCTCTCTCTGCTCTCTCTTCTGCACTGTCTAGGATTGGCTGGTGACCGGCTCATCTTTATGCAAAATGGTCAGGGCCAACTGCCAGAGCAGCATCCCCAGGTGCCGGTCTGACGGCCCCAGGGTAACTTTCTTTGTAGGCCTGTTTGACTCTGGTTTTCTCTACTCCCGATTGTATGTCATTGTGTTGGTTTGAATGACATGTCCCCCATAAGTCTCTGGTATTTGAATACTTGGTCCCCAGTTGGGGGCTGTCTGGAAAGGATTAGGAGGTTTGGCTTTGCTGGAAGAGGTGTGTTATCAGAGGCGGGCTTTGAGGTTCAAGTTAGCTTTCTCTGTCTCCTGCTTTGGATCCAGATGTGAGAACTCAGCTGCGACTCCAGCGCCCAGTCTTCCAAAAAAATCTAACCAGCAAAGAGCCCCACACCTCTGATGCAAATACGTGTGTGTCTTGCCCCCGCCCGCTTCCTCCGGAATTTGAAGGCTGTGGAAGCAGAGGCCTCTGGCACCCTCTGGAGGAGGCTGGAGGCTATGCGCGAACACTGGTAAATTGTTGATGCCTTTACAGGAGCCCAGAATCTGGGCAGGGGAAATGAATCCACTCAGTAATGAACCTCCAAGATTTACTCAGGGAATATTCTCTATTAGAACAATTACATAAGACCTCGTGACTAATTTCTAGCTAGACTGACATAAAAAAGCTTGAAGTATGCAATTTAAGGAAATGTTACAAAGTTGGGCATGAATTGCATTGACCCTTCCTCTGTCTTGCTTAATGACTGGAGCCCCAGAAGCCACCTTGGACCATGAGTAGAAGCAAGACTATTGAAGACAGCTGACTTAAAAACAAAAGGTTCGGTTTCACAATGATCAAGTTGACAGATGGATATGGTAGCCCAGAGCTATAATCCCAGCACTTGGAAACTGTGGCAAGAGATCACAAGTTCAAGACCAATCAGGACTATATAATAAAGACCCTATTTCAACCCATCCACACACAAAAATAAGTTGTATGCCAATGCCAACTTGAGAGAAAAGGTGACACATTCTGTTTTATTTATACTACTGCTATTTTGTAACCAACTTTTCCCCTTTTATTGAAAATGGATTATTTTCTCAGACAATATAGTTCCCCCTCCCTCTATTCCTCCCAGTTCCTGCCCCATATCCCCACTCATCAGATCCACTCTTTCTGTCACTTACTAAAAAAGAACAGACTTCAAAGAGATAACAACAAGATAAAATAAGATAAAACAAAACCCCTAACGTTGAGTCTGAACCAGGTGACCCAACAGAAGGAAAAGAACTCAAGAGCAGGTACAAGAATCAGAGACCCTCTTGTTCACACACTTGGGAACTCCATAAAAGTGCTAAACTGGAAGCCATAATACATACACGGAGGACCTGGTGCAGACCAGCAGGCCCTGGGCTTGTGGCTTCGGTCTCTGTGAGTTCACATGGTCCTTGCTCAGTGGATTCAGGCGGCCTTGCTCTCCTGGTGTCTGTCATCCCCTCTGGCTCTTACTGTCTTCCCTCCTCTTCTGTGGGATTCCCTGAGCTCTGAGGGGAAGGATTTGCTGGAGACATTTCGTTTAGAACCGAGTGTTCTAAGGTCTCTCTATCTCTGAGTAATGTCTGGCTGTGGGTCTGTGTATTTGTTTCACACTGCAGGAGGAAGTTTCTCTCTGATGATGGCTGAGCGAGGCACTGATCTATAAGTATAGCAGAATTCATTAGGAGTCATTTTATTGAGATATATACATACACATATATGTTATATTAAGACTAGTAGTATTTGTTTTTACCCTAGGTGCCTGGGCCATCTAGTCTCTGGTTCTTGATCACTCTAGCATTTTCTGGTATAGCTTCCGTCTCACAGCGTGGCTGTAAGTCAAATCAGACAGTGGTTGGTCACTCCCACAGCTTGGTGACACCATTGCACTAGCATATTTTTCCGGCAGGACAGATTGTAGATCAAAGGTTTTGTAGCTGGGTTAGTGTTGATATTTCTCTTTTGGTAGCCTACAGAGCACCTTCCCACACCAAAGGCACTAGAATGTAGGGGTGAAGGTTTTATGTAGACACCAGCTCGACCTCTCCATGTTCAATGAGTTGTGTGGGTGCGTTGTCTTCAGCAATGGGACCTTATTATCAGTTTGTGGAGAGCAACCTACTGCCTGGGTTGTCTGGGGATTTCCATTGGACCTTTTGGGCAATAACTCATTGGATGTAACCCAGCCCCGGCACTGGAAGCTTGCTTTGATGACAAGAGATAAGATGGGACTCTGTCTCCCCCATTATTTGGAGACCCCATTAGGATCGTCTTCATATATTTTAGGAAGTTTCCACTGCATTAAGTTTCCATGCTACCTCAAATGCTCCTCAATTCTGCTATTTCACCCCAGTTCCCTCCCCTTCTCCATCTGACCCTTCTGCTCCAGCCCCCCCAAACACACACTTTTTTTTACTCCAAAAGAAAATTCCCTGGGAAAAATCCCCAAATATCTCTATAGCTCATTCTTCTGTCGAAAATGTGGCCACCCGGCCCCACCTCACAGGGTGGGCCAGTCAGTTCTCTTGAAGGAGAGTTACTCACTTACAAAGGCTTCCATAGACCCAGTGAAAGGATGGAAGCCCAAGTCTGACTGGACCAGGTAGCCAGTCCTGACACCCCTTACACTAAGAGCAAGCATGTGCTGTTTCCGAGGCCAAGGCCTGAGGCTTTAGTCCGTTATGGGAGCTGAGTAAGCACACACCAAATCCCACTGCCAGTCACCAATAAACCCCAGAACTACTGGGAAACTCAGGTGTGGCACCTATAGTAGCCCACAGGGCGTCAGGGTGGCTGGTGCAGGCTCACACAGCTGGACTTTGCTCCAGACCACTGGTTCATCCAGCCATCTGTCTCTTCTATTTGGACCAGCATGCTGCCTGTTCTCTGTGACACTGGCAAGGACACACAGATGGGAAGGCCACCACGGAAGAACATTTCAAGACCTTACTTACGTCATGTTCATTCACATCTATTGGACAAAAAAGGTCACAAAGCCAACGCTGAAATTAAGGCTGGAGAGCATACTTCACCTGTCACGGGGTGGATGTACGTGGTCTGCAAGGTACTGGAGAGCCGGCTGCCAGGGACTCTCCTCAAAGGCTTCGTGGCCCAGAGACAGGCTAGGCTTGGCTTTACTGGAGAACAAGAACACTAGCCCCTCTTCCCATTTGCCTGGGAGAAAGCTTCACTGTGGCCCTAGGTCCCACTTCAGTTGCCCAAGTGCTCAAGCCTTGTCCAGTGGGGGCTGTCCCCCGTTTAGGCCTTTCCTGACCTGAGATTGTGCAAGGCCTTCAGCTGCCCTCTGAGCACACACTCTCAGCCGGACAGAGAGAGGGAAACAGCCAGTTCAGGAAAGAGGAAACAGCCCCCAGGACAGGATCCTCCTCTCCTGGGAAGCAGAAGCAGAAGCAGAGAACCAGCTGCACGGATTGCTCTCTGGCCTTCCTTCCTGTTCTCTTCTCTGGCCGGCAGGTCAGCCAGCCCAGCCGCCATTTCCTCCACGAAACAGGCACTTCCAGCTTTGTGGCTGCAGAGGGGTCAGATCAGGGAGTGGGGAGCCAAGTGGGACTGGGACTTTCTGGAGTAGGGTGGGTATTCAGGTGGATGTGACTCCCGGACTTTCCAAACACATGCAAACCCTAAACACAAACTCTAAGCTATTCCCCGATGCTAGGTCCTCTCCACCCCCCCCCCTTCCCAACCCCTAACCCTGCTCCATAGCAGCTGCTCCCCTCCCGGACTCACTCACTCGAATGGCGGCTCCAACTGCTTACTAAGTGTCTTCCTCCCACAATCCCAACACATCATCCCAAACCCACGCCCCTCATTCCTACCCAGGCCCCATCTTATCCTCACGCGCACCCATTCCCACCCTAAATTCCAATCCAGATCCCAACCTACCATCCGACTGAACCACGCCCATCCCACCCGAGTTTTCTCACCCTAAAGCTCCCCACTCAGTTTTATTCACATTGATATTTCACCTGTTGTGGGTTCTTCGGTAAGGGCCGGGCAACACTAGGCCGTGGGGTCAGCTGTAGATTTCCTACTACTTCAGTCAAAGCCAATGGGTAGCCACTGGGCCTGGTGGCCTAGGTTTGTAATCCCAGCTTCTTGGTGGACTGAGGCAGGAGGATCATGGGCTGAAGGCCACCAGCCTAGTAACAGAGCAAGTTCAATGATAAAGCAGGAAAACTTATCAAAAGAGGGGTTGTGGCTAGAGATGTGATGCATTGTCAGAGTCCTTGTCTGGCTGCAGGAAACTCTGGGTTCAGGCCCCTGACCACATAAACCAGGTTTAAGGATGACATCTGTCACCCCAGAATTTGGGAGAGGCAGGAAGATCAGAAATTCAAGGTTATCCTCAGCTACATAGGTGACCTGAGATACACGAGTCCCTGTCTCAAAAACAAAACAAAGCATAGATTCTGTGGCTTGCACAGTTGATGTTGGGCCCATGTTTGGGGTTCTCCTTTATTCGGAAAAGAATCTACTAGAATTGCCCACTGCACTCTTACTTCTCTTTCTGGGTCCTCTGGCTGGCTGCATCTGTATCTTTCTTTCTCCAGCTGATAGGGAAGTTGGGGGATGCCCTGGTGTACAGGAAACAGAAACCGAATCCTACACTGGGGAAAGCTCCCCATGGTGACCCTACCCTTGTCCTTTTTGTGCCTGCTGGACTGGGCTTCCAAGATCAGAGGTCAGGGCCTCAGCTGGTTCCCTAGATGTGCTGGTCTCACATGCAGTCAACATAGGGTTTCAGAGTATATACCAGGGCACCCTAATGGCTCTGACATGGCATGTGCCAATTCCAGTGTGGGCATTTAAGCCCTTTCTTCAGCATGTCCTGCTTGGGGACTCAAGGAAGAAAATCAGGAACTTCTCTCTGAGGACAATGCTGTCCAAAAGCCATGTTGACAGGAGAAATTTCTTCAGGGCCCACGGCTCGGCCCAAGACACGTTCCTTCTTTTCTCCCATGACCAGAATTTATCCCTAGGAAATGCTGGGTGCCTAAGCAGGTTGATCACCCCAATCCAAGCCTGTGGCACCTCCCCATCTATGCCAGGCTTTCATGCAGTGGTTATCCCTCTTTGTTTTTAAAAAAACAGTCCCCTGAGCATTTGGGGTGGAACAGGCTGAGCCAGTATGCTGAATTCCAGCAGGGCTGGTCCCTGTAGTACTGGGACTGGGCCAAACAAGGCACCATTGCCATATGGTCTCTCACATGCTTCATTCTGGTATTTGGATGTCTAAATCCCACCATTCCTCTACAAGAGTCATCATTGCCATTTCTAGAACCTCAATTATAGGAGACAGGGAGCTGGGGACAGCAAACACATAGCTTGCTAATGTTCTGGCTGCAGAAGAACTGGCCCTAACAATAGGTATGTGGATCTAAGTCCCAGGGGTACTCAGACCCCAAATGTACCCAATAGGCTGCCTTTTCTTAAAGTGACAGGACAGCCTGAGCCAGTTTCCAGAAGCCAAGTATGTCACTCAGATGGTACTGGAGAGCAGAGTTCTTTCTGTACTCCTCTGGTCCTTTGCCACCTCTCCTGTGAAAACATCTCTTCTGCTTTCTCCATGGGGATAAGTGCTGCCTGGGCATCGTGGGAGCTCCCCTGATCCCTGTCCAGGCCTGGACTCTTGCTCAGCCCTCTCCAGGTAGCCATGCCTGTCATGTGGTGGATGGGCTGGGGGCTGGGAGATGTCATGAGTTTCCTGTCCCCACTTCCAGGCTCTCCAGACCCGCTTGTCACCCTGCTGAGTCAGCAGGCAGCTGGGAGGATTGCAACACGTGTGTGTAATAAAATATACATAAGACTGGGCAATCCATGGGGCCTCTGGTAGTGGATCAGTAAGTATTCATTCCTAGCATATGAATGGACTTTGGGAGCCCACTCCACATAGAGGGATACTCTCTCAGCCTAGACACCCGGGGGAGGGCCTAGGCCCTGCTGCAAATGATATGACAGACTTTGAAGATCCCCCATGGAAGGCCTCACCCTCCCTGGGGAGCATAAAGGGGATGGGATGGGGGGCAGGGGAGGAGGGGAGGAAGAGGGAACTGGGATTGACATGTAAAACAAACTTGTTTCTAATTTAAATAAAAAATGTGTAGCAAAAAATTTGCACAAGATAAATTTTACTGTTCTGTCTTTAGGTGTACATTTACATTGTTATGTAGCCTTTACCACCGTCTATTTCCAGAACTTTCTCATCATCCATAACAGAGTTTCTGTGCCCATTAGATAGTAGTTTCATTTTCTTTCCTTTCCCAGCCCCTGGTAACTTTATCCCATTTTCTGTCTCGAGATCATTCATTAGGTTGAGCAATGCAGTATTGCCCAGTATGTTAAAGACACATGTCAGAACTGCATCTGTCCTGACTAATATTCTACCATATACATGAGCACATCTCTTTGTCCACTCCTCTGTTGGTATGCACAGGGCTCTTTCTGTCCTCTGGCAACTGAACGACGCTGCTATGGACGTGATTTAGAAGTGTCGTTTGGAGTTTTGCTTCCGTCATTATAGGTTCTACACCCAGGCGTGGGATTACTGCCCCACTTCATAGTTCTACGCTGACTTCTTGAGGAATCCCCAGTCTCCTGCACTGCTCCATTTTACACCCCGCTAATGATGCATGGGGCCCCTGTTTCTGCACACCCTCCTCGACAGTTTTTAGTCCTGTTTTTTCACGAGCAGACATCATAGAGGTGGGAGTTCACTGGTTGTTCTGTGTGTATGTGGTGTACTCACATGCTTGTCGATGCGTGTCCAGGAGCAGGAGGATGCTGCGTGAGAATTCTCCTCTTTCACTTTCTACTTTCTTTCCCTGAGACAGGGTCTCTTACAGCTGAGCTGGCTGGCCAGCAAACACCATCAGTCCTCCTGTATCTGTTCCAACCAGTGCTGGGGCTGGAGGCACGTCCACACCCGGTGCAGGTACTGTGGTTCCCACCGTCTGAGCCATCTGCCCAGTCCTCACTGTGGCTCTGAGTTGAGTTTTCCTAATGGCTTACCAGTGTTCTTTTGTCTTTTTGGATTTTTTATTTGTTCATTGGCCACCAGCATGTCTTCAGTGAAAAGTGTCTATTCAAGTCCTTTGCCCATTTTCCTAATTGGGTTGTTTTATTTTGGAGGAGGCTATGTTGTTGCCAGAATTCTCTACATGTTCTGGATGTTAATCCATTAAGTAAGTCTCAAGTATTTCCCCTCATTCTCAGGCTGTCTTTTCTTCATTTCTCTGCACAGTGCTTTTGACATACACAGAATCAACTCCATCTGTCTTAGTTAGGGTTTCTATTGCTGCAACAAAACACCATGACCGAGAAACAAGTTGGTGAGGAAAGGGTTCATTTGGCCCACACTTCCATATTGCTGTTCGTTGCCAAAGGAAGTCAGGACAGGAACTCAAGGAGGGTACAAAACCAGTCAGCACACTGTCTTACCTATTTTCCCTTTTACTTTTCTGAGACAGGGTCTTACTATATTGCCCACACTGGCCTCAACCTCACCATCCTCCTGACACAGTTCCCTGAATGCTAGAATTACAAAGCATCCCACTGTGCCTAGCTTCTAAGTCAGGAAAGCGTGACCCAATCCAAAGTCACAGAGATCATCACCTAGGTTTTCTTCTAGATATTTCTTAACTCCTAGGTGGGGTCCCTGTGGAGTTCCTTCCCACTGCGGCACTCTTTGGCACAGGACTTACTTCTTGTGCATGGTATACTGTAGGTGCTTAACTCCTATTTGTGGATGTGAACATGTGTTGTGCAGGAACCTTGTGCCACCTAACACACAGAAGTTTCTTTGCCACCTCTCTAGTCAGACTCTACACTTCAAGGACCACACACTCCTGCCCCAAGCACTGAGGAGACCTGTGGATCTGGGGCTCTCCACTGCTGTGGACACATGTCCTCAGACCTAGGTCCGAATAAACGAGTGAATGCCAAGAAGAAGGAAAACACAGAGACTTCTCTGCTGTGGCCATAAGGACTCACTCCAGAGGGGAAGTTACAGATTTGTGCAGCATCCTGAAGGCTGAGTAAGACTTCTGCAAGCCAAGATCATTTATGATGGGGGTTGAGCCGGGCAACTAGGGACCCAGAGAGGACGCAAGCCTGGGCTCAGAGTGAGTCTGTGAGGTGCAGAGACAGGGGCTGCCATATGAGGTAAGAAATGGAGGTCTTTCAAATCTCATGGGCAATGAGATGCCACCAAGGTTTTTGAGAGGAATGACTTTTCAAAGCCAACATTTATCAGGAGGCTGAAGGAAGATTCTGTGAGTTTGAGAGCATTGTGAGCTACAGCGTTGAGAACTTTGTCTACAAACAAGCAAGCAGTCTCAGCATTTTGGAAAGTTCAGTCAGATACGTTCTGACTTGTAGCTGGTAAGGGTTGGGGCAGGAGACAAATCTCAAACAAGCCCACCGTGCTTACTGAGTGTGCTGGAGTAAGTCACTGGGTCTCTGAACTCTAGACTCCTGGTTTGGGTGACAGGGAGGGGCAAGGGAGAAATAAGGAAAGAAACATAACTGCTCATCTGCCTTGAGGCTGCGTCCTTAAGGGGAGGAGTCAAGGAATACAGAAGACTTTCTGGCACATGCCACCAAGTGAGGGCATTTCTAATCACACCCCGAGTCAAGAACACACGCTTCTGGTTTCCTGCTGGTGGCTGCCCCAGCAGTTCTTAGGAACCCTGCCTTCCTGTTGGGTTGGCCAACACAGCAGGTGAGATAAACCCTGCAGGCTCTGGGACCAAGGTGCCCCCAGGGTGTCCCTAAGAGGTCTCTGTGTGCCCACCCAGCCTGTCTTATTGCTCTCTTAGGCACCTGAGCTCACCTGAGAACTGGCGATGTGTGTGCTGCTCTCTCTGCTACTGCTGGCCTCTGTCTTCTCACTAGGTAAGGTGTCTCTCACAGCATCTGGCCTCTGGGACACTAGGTAAGGTGTCTCTCACAGCATCTGGCCTCTGGGACACTAGGTAAGGTGTCTCTCACAGCATCTGGCCTCTGGGACACTAGGTAAGGTGTCTCTCACAGCATCTGGCCTCTGGGACACTAGGTAAGGTGTCTCTCACAGCATCTGGCCTCTGGGACACTAGGTAAGGTGTCTCTCACAGCATCTGGCCTCTGGGACCCAGCACAGCAGCCAGACTGTACTTAGGTCAGATGCGTCTGAGCACATCCCATCCCCGGGGCACTGAGAGGGCCTTGCTGGGGAACTGTAGGAACAAGATAGGACCTGGGGCCTGTCTGGAGCACCCTTTCTGGGGCAGGTGATAGAGCTCTGAAGCACCCGCAGGCCTATATCACCCACCTTCTCCTTTGTCCTTCTCCTACTACTTCCAGGCCAGACCACATGGGGAGTCTCCAGCCCCAAGGATGTGCAGGGCTTGAAGGGCTCTTGCCTGCTCATTCCCTGCATCTTCAGCTTCCCTGCCAATGTAGAGGTTCCTGATGGCATCACGGCCATCTGGTACTATGACTACTCAGGCAAGCGGCAGGTGGTGAGCCACTCGGGGGACCACACACTGGTGGCGGAGCGCTTCAGGGGCCGAGCCGAACTGATGGGGAACATGGACCACAAGGTGTGCAACCTGATGCTCAGAGACCTGCAGCTTGAGGACTCCGGCACCTACAACTTCCGCTTCGAGATCAGTGAGGGCAACCGCTGGTCGGATGTCAGAGGCACCAAGATCACTGTGACAAGTGAGGAGGCTGAGGACTGGCCACTGTCAGGGACTCCCGGGCTACTGATGCCACCCTATCCTTTGGCCTGGGTCTAACCCAGGTCTTCTGCCTCAGCTCCTGCACTGGTCTTGGCCTAACCATATTTCCCTCTGTGACACTGCGGAGTGATCAACTGAAATTTTTCCTTTCCTTGAGGTCCCCTGACAAGGGCTCACCCTTTGGTTGGAGTTTTGGGGGCAGAGGTTTAAGGCAAGATGAAGGCTAGCCCTGAGATTCCCTGTCTTTGTTTTCAGAGGACCCCAGCGCTCCCACTATTACCGGCCCGAAGGAGCTGCGTGAGGGCATGGAGGCGAACTTCAATTGCTCCACGCCCTACGTGTGCCTACAGGAGAAGGCCAGCCTGAAGTGGGAAGGCCATGACCCTACTAATTCTGTCATCTCCAGTTACCAAAGCCTCGAGCCCACTGGCGTCGGTCACCAGGAGACCCTACATACGGTCTTATCCTGGCAGGACCATGGCCGGACCCTGCGCTGCCAGTTCTCGATGGCCATGCTCAGAAGTGAGAAAGAGCTTTTCCTCCAAGTGCAGCGTGAGTGTGTCACACCCTTGTCACCGAACACCGTTTCTGTGGCTCCTTTACAAAAAACAGCTTGCCTAGTCCGTAAGAACAGACCCTTTTTTCCTGTGGCAGTTAGGTGCATTCAGACCTCTCCCTATTGGAGAGAGATGGCTGAGCCCTAACAGACCATGCTTATATCCCAGTGTCAGGGAGACAGAGACTTCACATGGATCTCTGGGGCTTGCTGGCCAGCCTAACCTACTTGGCAAGTTCCAGGTCAATGAAAGACTCTGCCTGAAGAAACAAGTGGCCAAGGTTGACCTCTGGCCTACATATATGTGCATATGTGTGCACCCCATGTATGTGACCACACACACACACACACACACACACACACACCATTCTCATGCACACACGGCAGGATGGGGATTCTTAGTATTCTTAGTCCCTTGCTTATAAATTTTTCTGAGAGCCAATATTTGCTGTCTTTGACCCCCTGCCATGAAGTGACTAGTCCCCTTTCCAGTAGCTACTGCAAGCCACCAAGGCAAGTAGAGTGCTTATGATCTTTTTTTTCCCGAGACAGGGTCTCTGCATTGTTTTGGAGCCTGTCCTGGCACTCTCTGTAGACCAGGCTGGTCTCAAACTCACAGAGATCCGCTTGCCTCTGTCTCCCGATTAAAGGCGTGCACCATCAGCTCCCTGGCAAGTGCCTATGATCTTATCTATGTAACTCGTCCACACAGAATGTGGACAGTGTTATAACACACAGGCCGTTGATAGCCACTGACAGCTAGACACAGGCCAGGACCACATTCTCAGAGCCTCACTGGAAAAGCCTCACAGGAATGCGTCAGGAAGGGGTAAAGGACAAATGACACTGGGTTTTGGATCTTCCTTAGAACAGAGTTTTGAAAGAAATGTGCCAAACACTCTGGCATCCTCATGTACCATACCCAGCATCCCATCGTGCTTTGCAGATGCCCCCAAAGGTGTGGAGGTTCTCCTCAGCTCCTCAGGAAAGAACGTCCTTCCGGGGGATCTAGTCACTCTCACCTGCCAAGTGAACAGCAGCTACCCTGCCGTCAGTTCTGTGCAGTGGTTCAAGGATGGAGTGAGCCTTGGAGCAGACGGCCGTGTCCTGCAGCTGTCTGCAGCGGGCTGGAACGATTCCGGGGTCTACACCTGTCAAGCAACGAATAGCGTGGGCTCGACGGTGTCACCCCCCGTCAGCCTCCACGTTTTCAGTAAGTCCTGGATGAGGCCGGATCTAACCAGGAAGCTGAGGGGACCTGGTGGTCCTGGTGGGACAGCACCAGAGGCTTGTGTGCCCATGACATTACCTTCTCACAGGGGGCAAGTCAGGAGGGCCCTGGGAAATGGCGTAAAGAGAACTGGGTAACTCCAGGAGGCTCCTGCTGCATGGGGTGAGGCTCACTATAGCATGTAGAGATTGAAGCTATTACCCAGAACTCGAAGGGTGTGTCCTATGCTGCTCTTGCAGTGGTTGAGGTCAAAATGAGCCCAGCTGGGCCCATCGTGGAAAACGAGACAGTGACACTGCTCTGCAGCATCCCCAAGGAGGCACCCCAGGAGCTCCGCTACAGCTGGTACAAGAACCACATTCTTCTGGAAGATGCCCAGGCCCCCGCTTTACACCTGCCTGCAGTCACCAGGGCCAATACCGGCTTCTATTTCTGTGAGGTGCAGAACGCCCAGGGCCGTGAGCGCTCCGGCCCAGTGAGTGTGGTGGTCAGATGTAAGTGACCAGTATGTGGGGCAGCAGACATCACCAGAGTAGGGCCAAAGGGTGGGTGGAGTCCCTGCCAGTAAGTTGGGGGTCCCTGGTATAGCGTCCTCAAGACCCTTAGCCCAAGTGTGGACTATGCAGTCAGATGGGGTTGAACGCATGCCCAGCTCTGCACCCCTACACAAGGCTGACCTTCCCAGACTGAGTCTCCTCCCATGTTTATAAGTGTTTTACTTAGAAATAAGTTTGAGCTTATGAAAAGTTGCAGGACACAGTCAAATAATCTTCATATACCTTTAGTCTAGAGTCTCTGCCTGTTGCCATCATGTTGCAGACACTGTATCCTGTCTCTGCATGCAAACCTGGGTTGTATTGTTTATTCCACATACATACATGTGCACACATGTGCATATACATATATGTCACTACTATTCTGTACACACCTGTATATGTGTACACATGTTACTTACATGCCTTCCTATAGGTGCATTTAGAATTACGATGGGGCTATACCACAAAGAACTTTTCTCACACTTTTAACCCCAGAGCTCAAGATGCAGAGGCTAGTGAGATATCTGTGAGTTCTGGGTTAGTCAGGGCTACATAGTGAGATCCTGTCACAAAAAGAAAAAAACTCTAAGCTGAAAAGGCATCTGCTACGTTCAGGTACTGAATGCAGGAGTTTGGTTCAGTCAGGGTTAAACACGCACCAGTCTCATGTTAGCTATATTTGGGTCAGGATAGCTAACACAAGCCTACTTCACAATTAAGTGCCAATAGTCTGTGAAGTCACTGAATGCCTGCATCCAAAGCCTGCGGACAGTACAATACACCAGAGTGCCAGCGGCTCTCTTACGATTGGCACCATATATGGCTGACCATTCAGTAGCACGAGAGTGGGTCATACTGTAATTCGCTAGCCTAGACAAAGCACAGTTTATATCGACTTTCACACCACCACGAAGGTGAAAAATCCTGAGCAGAGCAGTTGTAAGTGAACAGTCGTCTGTATGTATGTGCCTGGAGTTGCAGGTGTGGGGCCTGTTTATACCTCGCCTTGTTAGTGTGCATCTCCCAGGATCACACTGTACATAACTCACACAAGGATCACACCAGGAAATGAGGTGCTGACTCCAGATTACGGAAGTCCTTGCTCTTTCCCTGTCCTTGGAGGCTATGCCTCCGTTTGTATTTGCCTGAGATGCACTTGATTGGGAAGGCCACAGGTGTGACTCGGTGTCTGACTTGGAGCATCTCATTTGGAGATGCTCAGGGTCCGTTTGTCCTGTGCTGCTAATGGTCCCTTTGGTCACTGTCCTCTGCCTGGACTGTTCCAGGTTTCTCATCTTTAAAATGAAGCGCTGGCCAGGCATGGTAGTACACTGCTGTAATCTAGCACTGGGGAGGCTGAAGCAGAAGGATCGCCAGTTTGGGATCAGCCTGGTTACAAAGTGAGAACCTAATTTGGGGCCCTGAGCTCCGTTTGCAGAGTAGGCACCAGGTCTAGCCTGGCTAATAGCAATTTGCCCATCCAGGGGGTAAAGTGTATTCAGCAAGTGCTCAAGAGGGTCTGAGGTGACGCTGTTCCGGGGCTCTGTGGGGCAAAGGGAAAGCATAGGCTAAAACAGGGGACCCAGGAAGGGACCTGTCTGAGGATGACAAGCCACCTCTGGTTCCTACACAGACCGGCCCCTTACTCCAGTCCTGACTACCTTCCTGGATACACAGGCTGGGCTTGTGGGCATCTTCCATTGCTCTGTGATCAGTGAGCCCCTGGCCACACTGGTACTGTCACATGGAGGCCTCACACTGGCCTCCAGCTCCGGAGAAAATGACTTCAACCCTCGCTTCAGCATTTCCTCTGCCCCCAACTCCCTGCGCCTAGAGATCCGAGACTTGCAGCCAGAGGACAGTGGGGAGTACACATGTTCCGCCACCAACTCCCTTGGAAATGCAACTTCCAGCCTGGACTTCCGTGCTAACGGTAATGTGGGCATGCGCTGCAGCAGGGGGCACCGTGGAGGGTGTTCAGGGGGGAGGCCTCTTTCCCCAGCAGTCCTAAGGACTCAACTGAGAGAACCAAACTCTGGCTAGGTCCCATGGAAGACCTGGGTTATATGGTCATTCCAACCTTAGAGATTTCTGGAAGAGAGGGCAAGAAGGGAAATGCATTGGGTCAGATTAATTCTCTCCTACATCTCTGACTCTGTACCTGGAGGGTCCTTTATAGGTATCCATTGTTTTATTTCTTAAGATTTGGGGGGCAGAGTCTTTGCTAGGCATTAGATGTGGGAGACAGGTTGGGGAAATAGGGTCTGGTTGTTGGAGCGTGCACTGTTCTTTCTTCCAAGGCCCTGGGAGGCACAGCCAGATTTTTGTTGCTTCTTTTTTCCCCTCCATGTCTGGTTATGCAGTGCTGGGGACTAAGCCCTGGCCTCAGGCGCGCTAGGTAAGCCCTCTACCAACTGAGCTTCATCTCCAGCCCTCAAGCCAGGTGGCATAAGCCTGTCTTGATCTAATCTGGACTTCAGTTCATTCAAATTGGCATTCAAGGCCACAAAGCCCAAATAGGCATGTGAAGAAAGCAGCAATCCAGAGGGCTTCCTGCAGCAGGGGCAGAGGGCCAGGGCCCTCGCTGTCTACCCAAGCCTATTTTCTGTTCCCCTTCAGTGGCCCGACTCCTCATCAGCCCTTCAGCACAGGTTGTGGAAGGACAGGCAGTGACTCTGAGCTGCAGGAGTGGCCTGAGCCTAGCATTTGACACTCGCTTTTCCTGGTACCTGAATGGAGCACTACTTCTTGAGGGATCCAGCAACACCCTCCTGCTTCCTGCAGCTTCCAGCACGGATGCTGGCTCCTACTACTGTAGAACGCAGGCTGGCCCCAGCACCAGCGGCCCCTCCCGGCCTGCTATCCTCACTGTGTTCTGTAAGTTGGCCTGGCTTCTGGCCTCTGGCCACTGTGTGGGATCATCCCGTTGGGACCACCAGTCATCCCCTTGCATGTCCTCCCGACCCTGGGGTCCACAACAGAGCAGTGATATGCCTTGCACGATGAACCTATCAACCTAGGGTGGGAGTTGGATGAATAAGGCGGATCTCCTTTTTCACTCCCTACGTCCTGCTCTCCAGGCCCAGTCTTGGCTCCTAAGTTGTTCCATGGCTCCAGGCCCCAGCTTGTCCTGCCCTCATATATCATTCTTCAAAAGATGAGCATGTGCCCCCAGACTGATCAGCTCCTCCGTGTCCCCCAAGGGTGATGCACCATATGAGCCCTAGGGTTTGATGATACAAGGGTCTTACTTGAGGGCCTCCCGCAGTGGGTGTGCTCATGGGTTTTCTAGTGCCTGAACAGGACTATGTGGGAGCATGGTCTGCTAGCTGTCTTTTGGCAACATGTTTGGAGAAACCTCTAGAACAGAACCATCTTTTAATCACTTGCCTAGCACGTACAAGACCCTGTGTTCATCGCTAGAACCACTTAGTAACTCCTCTTGCTGCTGCACAAAACAACACCAGGAAGGGAGGGCTTGCTTTGGCTCTCAGCCTGGGAGTGCAGTCTATCAAGGCCGCAGGCGGAGGGCAGCTGTTCTGCAGTCAGGTGTCAGGAAGCAGAGACAGATGGTGATGCTCAGCTCACTTTCTCCTTTTTATTCAGGCCGGGACGCTGGCTCGTGGAATGATGCCACCCACCCTTAGTGTGGGTCATACCACCTCAATGAATTCACCCCAGGAACTCCACAGGCATGCCCCCAGGTTCATCTCCAAGATTATTCTAGAGCCTTCAAGTTGACAGTATTATTAACCATCAAAACTGCAACAACAAAGCTAGAGAGGACGTTCTAGGGATTATCTAGTACTTCAGGGTCTGGGCTGGGGAACAAACAAAGGTGGAACAAACATTGCTTAGTGACAGTCTTGGGAGCTGCGGTGAGGAAACTCTCTTCGGAGGTAGACGGGACATGCTAGGTGACTGATGATACAATACCTTGGTCCAGCTCGAAAATGGCACCCCTTCTGGAAGACTCATTTCAGCAGCAGGGCACAGTTTAGGATGAGGAGCACAGGTGACTGCCTGTGTTGCCTGACTGTGCCCACCCTACACAGCTGTTTGTGATTGCTCCGTGTGCTTCTTGGAGCCTAGCCAGGCTGAAGTGGCCCTGGAGCTCTCGCGGTAGCCATGAAATGAGTGCCTAATGCTCTTCCTCTCCGTAGATCCCCCAAGAAAGCCCACATTCACTGCCAGGCTGGATTTGGACACCCCTGGTGTTGGGGCTGGACGGCGTGGCCTCCTCTTGTGCCAAGTGGACAGCGACCCCCCAGCCCAGCTACGGCTTCTCCATAAGGGCCACGTTGTGGCCACTTCTCTGCCATCAAAGGGTGGGTGCTGCTCCCCACGTACAAAGGTCAGCAGAGCCTCCAACTCACTGCGTGTGGAGATCCAGAACCCGGTGTTCGAGGACGAGGGCGTATACCTGTGTGAGGCTAGCAACACATTGGGCAACTCCTCTGCCTCAGCCACCTTCAACGCTAAGGGTAAGGAGGAGAGAAGGGCTGAGGGAGCGTAACCAGAGCTCAGAATGCCCCTGCATTTAGCAAACTGACCGGGCAAAATGACCTCTGCCCACAAAATGGGAGGAAGCAGAGGGAGCTTCAATGTCCCTCCCTCTACACCAAGGGACGGGGACCAACCTGGGACTTCAAGGCTCACCACTGAGAAAGTACAGGGGGTCTCCCTTGCTCTCCATCCCTTTTCCGTGCCCCTCTACGCCCCCACATCTTATTAGCTTTTCTCTCCATTCTTCCCTGCTCAAAGTTGGAACCCTGAGCCTGGGCCAGGGTGGGCTTTAAGTGAGGCTAACCGGAGAGAAGCCTGTCTCTAGTGAGCTCATGCTGACTATCCTCCAGCTACTGTCCTGGCCATCACACCGTCGGACACACTGCGCGAGGGCACAGAGGCCAACCTAACCTGCAATGTGAGCCAGGAAGTTGCTGTCGGCCCTGCCAACTTCTCCTGGTTCCGGAATGGAGTGCTGTGGACCGAGGGACCACTGGAGACTATAAGGCTGCGGCCCGTGGCCAGGACTGATGCTGCCGTCTATGCCTGCCGCCTCCTCGCTGAAGATGGGGCTCAGCTCTCAGCTCCTGTGGTCCTAAGTGTGCTATGTGGGTGATGGCTAAGAGCATCACAGCTTGGAGGGCAGAGGGGACGGGAGTATGTGTTAGTGGACCAGGAGGACGGAGGGGCCTGAAGGGTGGAGGAGCCAAGAGAGCAAGGGACCTGGGGGATGGCGAGACCTGGGGGATGGCGAGTTGGGGTTGGGGCTAGGGAGATAAATGCCAACCTAGAATGACCAGATGGGTATATGGAGTATATAGAAAAGGAGGGGACACAGTGTGGCAGCTAGGATGTAGTGAGATTGGCTACCACAGCCTGAGTAGCCATCCCTGCCCCGGTTCATGCAGATGCCCCAGAGCCTCCAAAGCTGTCAGCCCTCCTGGACGTGGGTCAGGGCCACATGGCTGTGTTCATCTGCACTGTGGACAGCCGTCCCCTGGCTCACCTGTCTCTATTCCGTGGGGAGCACCTCCTGGCCACCAACTTGGAACCCCAGCGTCCATCCCACGGCAGGATCCAGGCCAAGGCCACAGCCAACTCCCTGAAGCTAGAGGTTCAAGAACTAGGTCTTGAGGATTCAGGAAGCTACCACTGTGAGGCCACAAATGTTCTCGGATCAGCCAACAGTTCACTCTTCTTCCAGGTCAGAGGTAAGTGTCAGCCCTCTGACACTAGGGTGGACCCCGAGATCTAGAACTGTTGGAGCTGGACACTGTGCTGTGAGTTCCGTGCAGACACATGCTGTTTGCAGCCTGCGCTAACTGCAGTGCCCATAAGGAAGCAGAGGCAGCCAAGCAGGAGGCTTGTTTCGGCTGTGGCCTGCCCTCCCTCCCTTCCTGCTGAGACAGGGAATCTCCGAACTTACTATGTATCTGAGCCAGCTTCCTTAGGGCTAAGATTACAGATGTGAGCTCCCATGCCCAGCTGGCTAGAGAGTTTTCTAACACAACTTATTTTGTAATGTAGTTTTGTTTGACTTAAACATTCTCATATAAAATCCAGCACATGCATGTTATACATGTGTGTATATATACATATTCTTACAAATAATATTCATCTTATTTATTCATATATGTATATACATATATTCATGTGTAATATATATTCATATATTATATATGTATACATATGCATATATATTCTCTATAGACAGTCTCCTAGAACAGGCATCCATGGTGGCACACACCTGTAAGCCAGGCATTTCAGTAGGCAGAGGCAAAGAGATAGCAAGCTCAAAGTCAGCCTGGGGTACATACATCTCAACAAAACAATGCAAAATGTCTTTATAGGTAAATGTACCAGAAAAAAAGAAAGGTAGTATCCATAAGGCCAGGGCCAAAGAGACACACACTTCTCTCAGAATGTGAAGCAGTAACAATTTGGGACACTTTGGTTCTGTCTGTCTGTCCTAATTTATTACATCCATTCTTATGCAGAGAGACTGAGGACTGTGGGAACATCTTGAAGGAACACGCATGGCGGCCCTGCTAACTGTGGGCTAGTTTAGCTTCCGTCACTGCTCTAGCTGTCCCTCCTCCTCACTGCCTGACCCCTGACCCCTCTACGCCCACTCCCCACCCTCTGAGCTGTCAGGACCTACATCCTGGGTGAAGGACTTGGCCAAAGAAGGGTGGCAAAACAGCTGGTGTCAGCCTTCCCCTCAACCCTAGGCTACTCATGCTGAGCCCAGCTTGTAGTCGGGTTAGTGGCCCTCGGCATGACCAGCCATCCCCTGGGAGCGTTTCTGTGGCCTTGGGGCTCCACATGCAGATGCAGTGCAGCCACGGCCTCCATTCTGCTGAGGCTCGCTTGCTGCAGCTGAGAGTCCAGAACAAAACCCAGACCTCATGTGTTACATACCACTGGACCCAGCCCTCAGGATCATCTTGAATTCAAGGCCAGTCATGGCTACGTCATGAGTTCTAAGTCAGCCTTATGCTACCGAGTAAGACTCTGTCTCAAAAAACCCAAACCAAAAGACCAACCAACTCACACCAAACCAAAACCCAAACCAAAAAACCATACTTCAGGTGGTGAAAAGAAAAGCCAGCCCAAGGCAGATTCAGGCAAGGAAGGAGGAGGGAAGACTAAGACACGGACCTGAGGGGGCGCCTGGCAGTTACAGACATGGAACGGGGGCTCCTGGCAGTTACAGACACAGCACTGAGGTCTTCACTCTTCTGGAGACACAAACAGCACCAAACAAGGGGAGGGATGGTGGCAAACCCTCATCTACCCCGTTTTCTCCTTGCAGGGGCCTGGGTTCAGGTTTCACCATCACCTGAGCTCAAGGAGGGCCAAGCTGTGGTTCTGAGCTGCCAGGTGCCCTTGGGGGTCCCCGAGGGGACCTCATACCAGTGGTATCAGGATGGCCGGCCCCTTCCGGAGTCAACCTCATCCACACTCCGCATTGCAGCCATAAGTCCGAGGCAAGCTGGTGCCTACCATTGCCAAGCTCAGGCTCCAGACGCAGCTACTGCCAGCCTGGCTGCCCCTGTCAGCCTCCATGTGTCCTGTAAGGCTGTTTCTCACTCATGCTGGGGTGGGAGGTGTTCCACAACAGAACTTGTATGAGGGACACCCTAGTCACATCCTGACCCTCCTCATCTGTAGACGCCCCACGCCAGGCCACACTCAGCGCCCTGCTAAGCACAAGCCCTGCACGGTTCGGCCTCCTGGTGTGCAATGTACTCAGTGACCCTCCAGCTCAGCTGCGGCTGTTTCACCGGAACCGCCTTGTGGCCTCTACCCTACAAGGCCCAGAGGAACTGGCGAGCAGTGACCCCCGGCTGCACGTGACTGTGAGCTCCAACGAATTGCGCCTGAAGATCCACTTTACAGGGCTGGAGGACGATGGCACCTATTCCTGTGAGGCCACCAACACACTGGGCCAGGCCTCTGCTACAGCTGACTTCGATGCTCAGGGTCAGTGTGGAAGAGAAGAGGAGATGTGTGAGATTCTAGCCTAAGAGCATAAGCACAAGTCCAACCCTATGCTAATTAGGGGTGTGTTTTCTGGACTTGGGTGCATGAAAGGCCTTGTTTAAAAACTGGGTGCCCAGTTCATAAAGCTAACCAGAAAAGGCATCTCTCAAGAGACACCACAGCTGTACAGGAAGCACTTTTCACCCATTTGCCCTTAGCCAGGGCCAGGGAGGGGCTCGGGATGGTCTGGGCTTTGAAGAACTCTCTACTCATGACCTCTAGGTTCAACTTATGAACTCCTTTAGCAAGAGTGTTCCTGGGGAGCCTGGAGTGTCTCAGTAGCAGAGCTGACTGGCCCATGTGGAGACGATGGCTTGTTTCCCACAGGTCTAAGACCCTCACTTGTGACTCCCTCCTTCCCCCAGCTGTGCGCGTGACGGCGTGGCCCAATGCCACTGTGCAGGAGGGGCAGCTGGTGAACCTGACATGCTTGGTATGGACCAGCGAGCAGGCCCCACTCAGCTACACATGGTACAAGGGTGGGCAACGGCTCCTTGGTGCCCGTTCCATCTCCCTGCCCAATGTCACAGTCCTAGATGCTACCTCCTACCGCTGTGGTGTGGGGCTCCCTGGCCAGGCACCTCATCTCTCCAGACCTGTCACCCTGGATGTCCTCTGTGAGTGTGGCTGGGTGTGGGTAGTAGTGGAAAGAGTGATAGAAACTCACAGGGATCAGGGCATGGAAGAACTCCCTAGTGTGCAGCCTAAGAACTCAGCTACCAGCCAGCTGCGGAGCACTGGACAAGGGACCTTAAGCGTTGTGGGAGATGGGGACAGGAGCAGAGGCCCTGACTGGACGCTGGGGAACTCTTCTGCTACTTGCAAACTGTCCTTCCCAAGTCTGCTTCTGAACTCCGTGTGCTTCCTGGATCTCTACAGATCCTCCCCGAAGCCTGCGGCTGACCTACCTCCTAGAGACCCAAGGCAGGCGGCTGGTCCTGGTTCTATGTACTGTGGATAGTCGCCCACCTGCCCAGCTAGCTCTCAGCCGTGGTGGCCACCTTCTAGCCTCTTCAACGGAAGCCTCTGTCCCTAACACCCTGCGCCTAGAGCTTCGGGACCCAAGGCCTAGCGATGAGGGTCTCTATAGCTGCTCTGCCCACAGCCCATTGGGCAAGGCCAACACATCCCTGGAGCTTCGGCTAGAAGGTGAAACAGGGCTAGACCAAGGCTGCAGGGAAGAGAACTGCCTGTCATGTCTAGCTGGGCCAAGCTGACCTGGATTCCTTGGTTCAGGTGTACAAGTAGTGATGGACCCCTCTGCTATGGTGCCCGAGGGGACGCCTGTGACAGTGACCTGCGAGGATCCTGCTGCACTCCCACCCACCCTCTACGCCTGGTTTCACAACGGCCGTTGGCTTCAGGAGGGACCAGCTTCCTCACTCCAGTTCCTGGCGACTACACGGGCTCATGCCGGCGCCTACTTTTGCCAGGTGCATGATAATCAGGGCATGCGCAGCTCCCGACCCGCCACCCTGCAAGTTCTCTGTGAGCAGGGGCTCCTTGTCTGTGGCTTTCCAGGGTGAGGGCGGCAGAGGGTGCTTTCAGCACTTGGCTAGGGTGGGCGTGGCACTACAGAGGGTCTAGAAAGGGGCATTTGGGGGGAAAGAGGGCATTAGTGATGAAGATGGAGACACTATGGCCCTAGGAACCCTGATGAAGGACTCTGCCCACTCTCTTGATAAGGCGGAATTTCTAGAAACTTTGGCCTCGCCAACACTGGGCAGATGGGCAGTGAGTCATTGGTGCCTTGGCAGGTCCCCCATCTGTGTTCTGCCCTACCTCTAGATGCCCCTCGGGATGCTGTCCTGTCTTCCTTCCGGGACTCGAGGACCAGGCTCATGGTCGTGATACAGTGCACTGTGGACAGTGAACCACCCGCTGAGCTGGTCCTATCCCACAATGGCAAAGTGCTGGCTGCCAGTCGTGAGCTTCACAGCTCTGCATCAGGGACGGGTCACATCCAGGTAGCCCGAAATGCTCTTCGACTGCAGGTGCAAGGTTTGACTGGAGGTGATGACAACACCTATGTTTGTACAGCCCGAAATGCACTGGGCTCCATCAGTACCACCCAGAGGCTCCCAAAGGAGACTGGTGAGTGGGACAGGGGTGAGGAGGGTGTGAGGGTTTGGGATTCTTGTGTTGGGGCCTGGATCCCATGTGAGGGCCTTCTGTGCTGAAGTGACTACTCCATTCCTGGGAAGCCTAATCAGCGGGAAGAGGCACAGTTCTCAGTGAAGGGGTAGACTATCCCAAGAGGATGGCCCAGCCCTACCATCAAAGTCAGGAAGGTTATTAATGCCTTATGGAGAGAGACATATCCTGAATTCATGCACCCTTCACTGAGGAAGTCTGGGGTGGGAACAAGACAGAAGCCCACCTTTGGGAATTCCAGTCTGAGGGCAAGGTGCAGCCTCACACTTCAGATGACCTCTGATGCTGGAGGCACAGCCCTGTCATTGGGACCTCAGGATACAGTTGTAGTCAGGCTGTTTTTAATGATCAGTCTAAGGAGAGACACAGCCCCACCGTGGTGGGCCTTGAGCCCAAGATAGATTGAGGTCACCCCACAATGTACCATCCCTGACCATTTACCTGTCGTGTACCACAGATATACATGTGGTGGCTGAGCCAGGCTTGGATGTTCCAGAGGGCATAGCCCTGAACCTAAGCTGTCATCTCCCTGGGGGCTCCAAGCCCATGGGCAACTCTACTGTCACTTGGTACTGGAATCGCCATCTGTTACATACAGATCCTACACCCATGCTCTCCTTCACCCATGTGACCCGGGCTCAGGCTGGACTGTACCACTGCAGGGCTGAACTCCCCACTGGGGTCACAACCTCTGCTCCTGTCATGCTCCGTGTCCTGTGTGAGTATGACTCCACCTCTGCCTGGTCTCTCACTGGCTTGCATCAGGTCTTTTCCTCTGCTAGAATAAGAGCTTCATAGGCATGGGGTCTTCCCACTGGCCGGTTGTATGTGGTTGTGTAGCTTTGCTTTTGTTCCCCACCTTTGAAACGGAGGACACATTCATCCTATCCTCTTGGCATGAATACAGAAGATAAAGCAACTGAGTGCCTGGTGCATACTAGGCCATCATTAGCCTTGGTCCTCCCACTCCATTCTTCACCAACCCCAAGCTGCATCAATTAGTTACTGCTTGGTAACATGCTATCCTAAATTCACAATTCTATGAGTTAGAAATTCAGGCAGGGCTCAGTTCTGGTCTCCTGGCTGCAGCTGTCTAGTGACTCTGCTGAGATTGAACAGTCTAAAATGCCTCATGTGGTGACTGCAGATAGGCCATGTGTGACTAGCAGGATGGCCTGAGCTTTCCATATGGTTGTTTCTGGAAGCAGAAGAGAAACTGCAGAACATCTTGATATCCAGTTTCCAAAGTATGGCGATATATTATTTATGATTTATTAAAGCTTGCCTGAGGGTTCAGAAAGCAAAGCTTGCCACAAGACATAGAGGTCAGTCAGTGGTATTACACACCTTTAATCCCAGCAGACATACTAGCAAGCCATAGAACCAGGCGGTGGTGACACGCACCTTTAATCCCAGGACTCAAGAGACAAGCAGATGGATCTCTGTTAGCTCAAGGCCACACTGAGTTACACAACATTGATTTAGTCCTAAAGAGAAACAGCTCACACAAAGGTGATCTCAGCACTTGGGATCACATGCCTTTAATCTCAGGATTTGAGAGGTATAAAAGGAAGAGGCAGCAATCTGGGATTGAGGTCTGAGGTTGGTGGAGACAGGATTGCAGTCTGAGGTTTGGTGGGGAGATTTATTGTCCAACCACCCTGAGGACAGGACAGTCCTTTCAGCCTGAGGTAGAGGTAAGAGCTAGTGGCCTGACTGCTTTGCTTTTTCTGATCTTCAGCTTGAAGCTTGAACCCCAATATCAGTTTTTATTTTTTGTGTTACATATTGACTCCCAACATGTTACACCAAAGTCCCACAATGTCACTTTAAAAAATGTGTATGCATATCCTGTGTATGTGTGTGTGCAGTGTATATGCACTACCTCCCCATCCCCCACAATGTCCCTTTTGCCTTAGGAGTGAGGATTGCAAAGTCACAGTCTAGAGAGGGAGCTGTAGTCGATTTTTCCAGTCACCACACTCTTCCTCCCCACAGATCCTCCCAAGACACCCACTCTGACAGCGTTTGTGGAGCCTCAGGGTGGCCTCCAGGGCATCCTCGACTGTAGAGTGGACAGCGAGCCCCTGGCCAGCCTCACCCTCCACCTGGGCAGTCAACTAGTAGCCTCCAACCAACCCCAGGGCATTCCCACCCAGCCACACATTCACGTCTCTGCCTCCCCTAATGCCTTGAGACTGGACATAGTGGAACTCGGACCCAGCAACCGGGGGGAGTATGTGTGCACTGCCTCCAACGTCCTGGGCTCTGCCTCAGCTTCGGCCTACTTTGGGACCACAGGTGAGGAGGATGGCTCTACCAGCCACTGGAACCACTCTGCACAGAATTCTCGTGTCCTTCCCAGATCCCTTCTTCCTCCAGACAACGTGTTTGTCTAGTCCAAATGGATCACTTGGAGCTCCCTTGCACAGGGCTTGGAGATGAAGTGAAAGTTAAATCCGTTCTGCTGTAGTCACTGCGGGAGGGAGTGGTGGGCCTGAAACCCAGAGAGCTCCTTCAGCTTCTCCTTCATGTTTCAGCCTTGCACCGACTACAGCTGCTCCAGCGGTTGCTCTGGGTCCTGGCATTTCTGGTGGGCTTTCTGTGCCTGCTGCTGGGCCTAGGAGCCTGGCACACATGGAGGTGGGTCCAGAACTGAGGGGGGGGACTGGAATACTTCATTCTGCTCATCCTCTTCTCCCCCATCATCCCCCAAATCTTCTGAGGGAAACTCTCCCTTACAGAATTCACAGCCCTCAGATTTCCTATCCTGCCCTCTCCAAATGTGGGCATCCCTTCCCAAATCACCTCTATGGTTTGTTTATCATGCAGTGCCTTTCCTTTGCTTACATCTACTCTGTTCTGAAGGAAGAGCTGGGGTGGGGTAGGGGGACAAACAAGGAACTCCACACTGTCTGTCCGGGGCTGTTTTGCTCTGGGGATGCAGTGGGGAGGCTGGGTAGCTGCAGGGTGGGGATTCTTACTGAGTCTGCTCTTGCCCCTGTAGAAAGAGGCATTCTCATAAGATGAATGTGAAGGAGAATTCAGCAGAGATGGCCACTCATAAAGATACTATGCAGGTATCCATTTGACACATGTGGGCTTGTGTAGGTGCAACAGTGTCCTTCTGACATCCAGACAGCGTTCCCATTTATAGGGCAGCCCTGGGACCAGCAGTGGTCAGGAGAGAAGCACAGGGGCCCAGATTTCCTTGGGGAATAGGGAAAACCTTTTTGACTGAGGCTTGGGGTAGCTGTGTTTGCTGGGTGTGTGACTTGGTGGCACGGGTAGCTTTATCAGGACATATTTTCTGATCCCACCCCCCAGTTTGAAGTCTTTCTTCCTCAAGTCTGAGCCTGCCTGTCACCTAACCAGGAGAAAGAGGTCACTTTCCCTTCCCTAGTATATTCCTCTTCTGCAGATGACCTCTTCCTAGGACAAGTCGGTGTGGGACCCTCTGTGACCCAGGTTTTCTTTATGGGAAGCTCCTAGCACTGGATGCAGCCACCCATGGAATGTCATCATGAGCTGGTGGATGACTTATCGGCCCTCAGGAGGAGGTGGCTGCCACTGTCTGACAACTCAGGTGTTGTGAAAATGTCCTGCCTACCTCTGTACAGGTAACACAGTAGCATCCGACTTTCTGTGACCTGCCTTCCAAGCCTCTTGCTCCTAAGCAAATCTGATGGAGAGAGGTGAAGTGGAGGTCAACCTGCTGCCTCCAGGGCCCTGAGACTGAGCCAGCCATGCTGCCCACGCTTCTCTGTGAAGCTTTCCTCTGTGTCCCTTTGCCTCTTTCTCTTCAAAGGCCACCTTGGACTTTCTTGATTGGCTAGAACAGCATCTGGGCCCTCACGGACTTGCTACGATACTCTGTACCAGACAGATTATAAGTCAAGCTGTTTTAACAGAGACCGAATACAGTGACTTGAGGGTGACAGAGTTTTATTTTTCTCTCCTATTCTGGCTATGCTATGGTGGAATAAGACATTGGGGCTCAGAATCTTGCTCTTCTCCATCTCCCAAATGTTGCCTTTGATTATGAAGCTTGGGTGATTGTGGTGGGCTTGGTCCTACAGTGAGAAGGAAGAGTGGAGTGAAGGCCGCCCCTGTTCCCATGCTCCACAGAAAGGGAGAGTACAGCTGTCGACTCTACTCACTTCTCATCAGCTACAATTTGGTCACATAGACACACTGCTGAAAGGGAGCCTGGGAAATGTACTTTTTATTCCGAGTCTTGACTACATTTGGAACCTGTATTTCTCAAAGACCCCAACAATAGACTCAGACCTAGGACTTTTGACATTACAGAGAGTGCCATTGTCAAGCTAGGCTCTGGTTCAGTCCCTGGATGTTCTGGTTCTGAGTTTCCTGAAAGGAGCAATCCCTCTTATATAATAAAACTGAGGAAACCAAGGTTTGGTGATCCCTAGGTGTCTTAGTTACTGTTCTTTGGATGTAAAGTGACACGATGAACAAGATAACTCTTCTAAAAGAAAATATTTAGCTGGGGACTTGCTTATAGTTTTAGAGGGTTAGTCCTTGATCATCATGGTGGGAGGCAGACAGTCATGACATTGATGCAGTAGCTGAGAGCATTATACCCCAGGCAGCAGGGAGAAAAAGAGTTAGAGAGACAGAAAGACATACAGTGAAAGAGAGAAAGAGACAGAAAGGAGAGAGAAACAGAGATGATGGAGGAAGAGGGAGAGGGAGAGGGAGAGAGAGAGAGAGAGAGAGAGAGAGAGAGAGAGAGAGAGAGAGAGAGAGAGAGAATAGGCCTGGTTAGGCCTGGTGTGGGCTTCTGAAATCTCAGAGCTCACCCCTAGTGACACACCTACTCCAACAAGGCCACACCTCCTAATCCTTCCCAAACAGTTCATCAACCAGGGACAAAGTACTCAAGCACACAGGCTTATGGGGGCCATTCTCATTTAAACCACCACACTCAGGAGGGCAAGGGCATGCCAGGCAGACATCTTTGTACAGGGTCTGCCCCTGGAAGAAGTAACTCATCCCACCCATCCCACCCCTGCAGCTGTACCAGCTCAAGAATGAGGAGCAGACAGGGGTGTTACCTGTTCACGTATGAACAAGCATCCTTGTTCCTGCTCTACATACATCTCTCTCCACGGAAAAGGGAACAACTATGCATTTCTTGAACACCCATGCTCCAGAGTCTGTTAAAACACTGAGTATCACCAGGAATGGAGTGCTCCTGAGAGGTCAGGGATGGAGGGGAACCTGGCCTACGGTGGGTTGGGGACTCCTGCTGTAGCCCGGTAGTAGACGGTGGGAGGATCAAAGGATCTGGAGCTGAGAACCTGCAGAGTAGTGGAGTCGGAATTGAGGCTGGAAGGTTGGGACTGACTCGGGGAACTGTACGGCCGAGGTGGTGCTCTTGCTTGTTCTAGGCACACTTTCTTCCTCCCCTTCTTTCCTTCCTTCCCTATCCCAGACAGGGGCTCGTGTAGCTCAGGCTGACTTCAGTGGCATTATGTAGCTGAGAGGAGATGACCTTGAACTTCTGATCCTCCTCAGGCCCCATTTCTTTTTGTGCGTGAATGCCGTATTTTCTCCAGGAGCCTGACTAGCGTATTCCTCCAATAAACTTCCATTCCAGGATACAACTGGAGTCATTTTTCTTTTGCAACCAAAATGTCTAGGGTAGAATTCAGAGAATTTAAGTATTAAATTCTGTGGGCATGTGGCCAGGGCGTGTAAATCACAGGACACTTGCCTCATACTGTCTGCTGATGTCATCTGTGTCCCTTCCTGCTCCTCACGGCTCCTATGATGGGCTGCTCACTCCTAAGAACCAGCACAGGTTTGGCACATGGCAGGTGACACTTATCTCTTGTATATTTTTGTTGACTAGCAGGGCAGAAAACCAGCTTTAATCCAGAAGCAGGACAAGGAGAGAACAAACCTAGTGTAGCAAGAAGTTCCAGGCTAACAGGAATGACTATGGGGTGGTGGGCACAGTGGGTTTGGGAACATGTGACTTGGAGTCTTCGTCAGTTTACATGTCCTTCCAAGGGGCTGTGTTGAAGAGCGCACAGAGAAGCTCTTTGGGTCAATCCCAGTGGTGTGAAGCCTTAGACTTCTGAAATTAACCTGTAATTCAAACACAACATACACGGTAAGCGTGTTAGCTCAATGGCATTTCCAAAGGGGAGCACATCCATATAATCCACATCAGATCAAGTAACAGAAAGGCCAGCACCCCAGAATAGCCCCACCCCCACCAGCACCCTAGAATAACCCCCAGCCCCACAATCACCCCAGAATAACTCCCAACCCCCGCCAAGTGTAGCTACTAGCTCGACTTCTAACACCATAGATGTGATTTTTCCTGTGTTTGGGCTTTATAAAAATGGTGTCATACTTTAAACATGACAGCATGTGAAATGATTTGCCAATGTCCATTAAGGGTAAAATATTCTTCCCTTGACCCTGACATTCTATTCTTGGGCATTTACTCAGGAAGAATAAGGGTGTACTAGAATTTCGTAACAACATCATTCATCACAGCCAGAAAGTGAAATAAATACATGACAGCAGTGGGATGGCTCGGTAGACTGCAGCACGTCCACAGGGATTTGAGAAGCTGAACCTGCAGAGGGCCATATGAGTACGGTTCTCAGGTGTTCAGAGGGAGGGGCTGGCGGCGGGTGCCACAGCTGGGTGTACTGGTTACTTTTCTCCCGGCCGCATCAGTGAGAAAGGCAACTTAAGGAAGCTTGCTTTTTTGACTCACAGTTGGGGTCCCAGTCTCACCTTGGTGGAGAAGGGGGCAGCCAAGTGGCTCTAGCTGCGGGGTGGGGCGGAGCCAGAGGCAGCTGGTCATATTATGTCAGCAAGGAAGCAGAGAGAGACCAGTGACGGTGGTTTTCATTGCTTCCTACCTGTTCTCTTTGTGCCCAGTCCATCAGGTACTGCTGCCCACGTTTGGGGTGGGTCTTCCCATTTTACTTAAAACTCTCTGGAAACATCCTCACCGACCCGCCCTGAGGTGCGTCTCCTAGGTGATGCTAAATGCAATCAGGTTCACAATGAAGACCAAGGACAGGGAAGGGTTAAGCAACGGAACAGATGTCAATACAGTGATGTCTAAAGGGATTGGCAGGAGCCGTGATGGAGCTTCTGGAGAAGGTTGAATCGGTGTGCTCACTTGAGAAAATTTGAAGATTATTTTTAAAAATCTACCTCTTTACCTTGGTGTTGTGTTGTGACCCGGTAGCCCCAGCCTCTCTAGGCTGAGGTGGGAGGATCCCTTGAGATCGGGAGACTGAAGTGAGTGTGGGCAACACAGAAAAATCTCATCTCTTAAAAACAGAACAAATTGGGTGTGGAGGTACATGCCTTTAACCCCAGCACTCAGAAGGCAGAGGCAGACCAGCCTGGTCTACATAATGAGACCTGTCTCAAAAAGAACAACAAAATAAGAAATAAGAAATAGAAAGGAAATGAAAGGGGAAAATCCCTCCTTTTATGTCACTTATCTAAATTCTGACTGATTTCTTGGGTTTCTAAGCACCCAGTTCACCCTGCCAAAAAGCAAATGCGTCTCTTTGGGTGTTCTGTGTGGTCAGGAATGGAGCTTTGACCGTGATTTTGGGGACTTCCATGCATACCCATCACTTGACCACCAGTCTGGAATCTCCAGGTCCCACCCTGACATTGTCCGTGAACTGGAATTGGCAATGCCTGTCTCAGACATCATGCTCTGGGCTATCCCCGGCTAACTCCCATTTGCAGATGGGGAGAGGTGCCCATTCTGAGCACTGGTGTGGTTTCCAGGACATTCCCTGTTGCACTTTAGAGAACGAGACCCACAAATACTTGATAACTCACAGTTCCATGCTGCTTCCAGGCTAGACCAATGGTTTCCTGGGCTGCCCCTCCCTCAACTTTGACCCACTGCTCCCCTTCCAGCTGCAACTGAAAGTGCAAATTAATGGTTATTTAGAGAGCTTGGTACCAGAGGCCCTGACATGTCTAGAAACTTCTCTGGACTTAGGAGTCATATAACTTTGCAAGAATGACTGATCTCCGTAGGTCTCAGAGGCTACAGTCCTCTTCATTCATTCATTCATTCATTCATTCATTTTTGAGATGGAGTGGGGTCTCACTATGTAGCCCTAGCTGGCCTGAAACTCTCTGTAGACCAGTCTGGTCTTAAATTCCTAGAGATGCATCTGCCTCTGCCTTCCCAGTGCTGGGATTAAAGGTGTGCGCCACCACACATGGTCAGTGGTACTTCACATTTCTCTTACTTTAGTTTGTGTCTCTTTGACAACTTTACGTGCACACTGTCTCTTGATCATACTCGCTCTTAGGTGTCCCCTCCCAGCCCCATCAGGTACCCTCTATACATCCCCCTCCCATCCTCATGTCCTCTCATTTATTTACTTACTATTTATTTTTATGACTCGGAGTCCAATCGGTGCTGCCTGTTGGAATGGTGACTGCTCTTGCTGGTTTGGTCTTGTGTAGGAAGCCACTGCTGCATTCATGAGGGCAATGGCCACGTCATGTCCACAACACAGCAGTTTATAGTACTCCTCTCATCCTCCAGCACCTACATTCTTCCTGTCCCCTCTTCCCTGATGTCCCTTGGGGAACTGACACATATGTCCTATTTAGGGCTGAGCACTCAACAGTCACTTATTCTCAGCTCTTTGACTCTGCATTAATTGTTGCCCACTGCAGTTCTCCAGCCAAGGATGAGAACAGCACTAACCTATGAGTATAAACAAATATTTAGAAAGCTGTTTGACACGCCCCATTAGCAAAACAACAGTGTTAGGGTCTCTTCCAGGGTCTATGACCTCCTGAGACACAGGCTTTTGACCAGATTTACAGTATCAGGCATAGTCTCTCCCGTGGAGCAGACCTCAAATCCAGTCAGAAAGTGTTGGTTACGCCCATAACCTTCATGTCACTATTGCACCACCTGAACATCTTACCTGGCAGCTCATTTTTGTAGCATTCAAGGTTCACCATTGGGCAATACCATTGATGACTTTTCTCCCCCAGAAAACTGCATAGCATCTTCTGGCACTATGAAAGGTAGCCATTGGGTCAGTTCCAGCTTGATTCTAAACGTGCTGCAACCAAAGTGTGTTGTATAGCCAGCATTAGAGTCTTACCATCTAGTTGTTAAGCCAATAGCCTTCCTTGTCTTATTAACTTCAAGTGGGCCAGACTGCATACCCGGATGTACAACAAATGCATTTCCAGCCATTATGGTGCTTTTGGTTTGGTGAAAGAGAGGAAATGGTAACTAGGAAGCCATGTGAAACATGCCATAGTGAGAGGTACCATGCAGGAATAATTACTTGGCTTTGGCAATCAGGGATAGCTTCCAAGTAAGGAGAAATCAGAGACGCACTCTGCAGCAAGAGGCCTTCCCATTCACTGTGGGAGCCAGGTGCTCTTTGCCTGCCTTCTTCTCTGCCCCTCTGCATTCAGACTTACTTTAGGCTAAGTGTAGAGGACTCTCCAAGTGTCTACACTGGGACTTTGCTCTGCTTCGCTGCCCTCAGCTTGTTTTAGGCTGAAACTACTTACAAGTCATCAACCAACTCTTCAGATGGCACCTGTCTAGGGGATGGCACCACCCACAGTGGACAGGTCTCCTCACTTCAGTTGAACAATCAAGATAATTCTCTACAGGCTTTCCCATAGATCTATCTCTCAGGTGATCCTAGATTCTGTCAAGCTAACAGTGCTAAGTTTCTCAAATTCTTCCAGCAGGAGAGAAGCAGCATCAGAGTGAGTCTGGACATGACAAATGCCTGTCTTATCCTCCACACCAGGTTCACCTTGCAGAAGGAACAGGGAATTCAGTGGAAGGATAGATTCTGCTACCATCAGTATTTCATTAACAGGGGAAGGACATGCTACCTCTCTGCCTGTCTGCACTAGAGCCCCCAACATGACCAAAGCCATTATTGTTATCCCAGGCAAGAATTCACAAGCAAGTGACATACTAAGGATGTGTTCCCAGGCAGACAGATAAAGAAGGGGAACAGGCCAGGGAGGACATCAAGGACACATGCACATGCATACCATTGTAATATTTTTGTAACAGTCTCAGACCCACGGGCCGTCCAGTGGCAGCAGAATTCATGAAAAACTGTGATTATAGTGATACATTTGAAAACTATTCATCTACAAGAATAAATGAGCTAAAGGCTGGGTAAAACTCAGAAACTGGGGAAATACAACCCACACTTCAGACAGAGGCTAATCTCCATTATACATAGAGGTCCTTCAAAATGCTACAGGAAGGACCAACCTTCGTGGGCTACAAACATGAGTGAGATGATACATAATTATCTAAGAAATCAGTAGTAGTGGTTTCCTGTGAGAAATGAGAATTGAAAGGATTGGAGACTGAAGAGTTAGGAAGACTTTCCTAAGCATTTTATACTTTTGTGTTTGGTTTTTGAGGCAGGGTCTTGCTGTATAGCTTGGGCTGCCTCTGGAATGCTGGAATTACAGGTGTGAAGCATGGTTCTCTTATCTTTCAGTCCCCCCTCGTGTGTGTGTGTGTGTGTGTGTGTGTGTGTGTGTGTGTGTAGGGGGTACATTAACCTGTGCATGCATGTGTGGATGACTTTGGGTATCTTCCTATGTTACTGTCCATTATAATTTTTGAGATACGGTCTCTTACTGAACCTGAGCTCAACAATTTGCCTGTCTTAGTCTGGTCTAGCACTTGTCTTAAAGGTATGTGCCACTGTTCTGGCTTTCTGTAGAATCCATGATTGCATGGCAGGCTGCTTACTCACTAAGCTATCTCCCTGGTGACAGAGTCTGCCCACCTCAAGTTCAGGCAGATGACTTTGAACTTGCCCTCTGCCTCAACCTGCTGGCCTCCTAGGGTTACAGGTGTATGCTGCCACACCCAGTTTATGTGATGCTGGGGACTGATCTCTCTCTCTCTGTCTCTGTCTCTCTCTCTCCCTCTACCTTCCTCCTCTCCTCTCCTCTCCCCTCCCCTCTCCTCCCCTCCCCTCCCTTCCTCTCCTCTCTCCTTTCTCATCTCTCCTTCCTCTCCCCTCCCTTTCTCTTCCAGGAGACCTCTCCCTATATTGCCCAGGCTGGCAATCTTGAGTGCCCTGTCTTGATCCAAGTGGACCCCACTGGCCTGATACTGTTTGATGTTTGAACCCTATACATGCAGCTTTCTCTGTCGTCAGAACTTTTACAGTCCAAATTCTCACAGCCAAATTAACCAGCTTGTTTCAAAGTTAAATCTCTTGCTATCCAAATGAATTCCTACGTGCTTGGATAGCAAGTGATCTTTACAACACGAAAGCAATGTCCCTAAAATTTGGAGACGGATTCCTCCCGCCTGGGGGTTTGTGGCACAGTACAATTCTGCCCTGGCTATAGCTGACACTCCCCGGAGCCTACCACCATGGCCTTTTCCAAGAACCATAGTCTACAGCACCTTGGCGCAGGGGGACAACTACATTCGAAGGCTTCACTGCAGTGGCCAAAGTAAGCACGGGTAGGCAGATCCGTGGAGGAATCCTCGCGCAGGGCAACTAGAAACGCAGGTCCAGAGGTCACTTGGGAGACCAGAACCCTGGGCAGACCCGAAGGCTGAGGGGGGTGGGGTGGGGGGTCCCGCAGCCAAGGTCCCTGTTGAGCTCTCCGAGGTTCTCTAAGAACCTTCCCCGGCGCTTCCCGCCATCCCTTCCCTCTGCCAGCGTGGGTAAGGTTGTTGCCGCTGTGGCCAGGGAGGGTCTCCCTGGCTCCCGCAGCACGAGCTCAAGTCCCTCCGCTGGCCAGGGTAGGGACAGGGTCCCGCGAGGTGCCGCGAGGCGGGCTGAGGGCGGGAGGAGGCGGGCCTCCTGCACCCGGGGTGGAGCCAACAGCAGAGCCAGAGCCAGCTATGGGCCCGGGGTGCGGGAGACCTGGGGGGCCTCCCGTGCCGCTGTTGCTGCTGCTGTTGCTTTCTGCATGGCCCCTGCGCAGCGCCCTGATGTTTCCAGGTGAGGGTGTGGGCCGCGGGCGCCTCTAGGACAGGTGAAGTGGTGGTGGTCTTGGGTTCCAGAGCAACTAGTGGAACTACCTGGCCGGGAAAGGGGGTTCTGAGCTGGCCCTATCCCCTTCCAGTGTTGTCCAGCTAGCTGTGCTCTGAGACTTCTGCATCTCCAGACTTCTAGGTCAGAGGGTCCCCCCCCCCCCCGCCAGGAAGGACTGGTGCCCTGGGGTCCTCTGAGTCGTGCCCTGCCTATAGGCTTAGCGGGCCCATCAGGCTCATCCTCGCCTCATCTTGGGTCTAGGCAAAGTGTATGGTGTTTATTCCGTGGCCTTGCGTGGCTGGCTGTCTTTCAAACAGGGGGTGTCTGCCTAGCAGTGCCTGGGGACTGCCGCTCTCTCTTCCTCCTTAACCTCTCCTGGCTCTGCTAAAACAGGGCTCTTAGCATCTATAAGCGGGTAGGTTGAGTTTCCAAACTCCATACAGCAAGCACCTGGCTGACCAGAAGGCCGAGGGGGCATCAGGAAGGAGGCAGAAAGGCCTGAGAACTGGGTTGTTGGGCAGCCTGGAGGCGACCCCATACCTAGGAACTCCTGCTCCATTACGGTTCTGAGAGGGATGAATGTCAGCTGTACTGGCATTAGCCAGGGGATAGTTGTTGGTGAAACTCATGGGAGAGACAGCCCCTGTGTTTCCCAACCCAGACTGGCTTCCTCAGATTCCACTTTAATCCACCCAGACTCCTAGCTCCATCCTTCCTCCTTCCTGAAGGTGCCCCTGCAGGACTGCACAGAGAACACCATATCCTGCACCCTTGGTGACCTGAGGTCAGCAAGACCTGGTTCTCCATACCCAGCTAAGCCTTCTCTTGGTTGAGAGATCTTTTACCTCCAGGAAGGCTTCTCTGCCCTTCCCTCTTCTCTCCTCCCTTCTTCTTCAGCCTCCATTCCAAAGCCACACCCTCCCCCCCAACTGCACGATGGGTCATTAATTAAGAAGCACATGTGACTCAAAGGAGGGGGTTCCTGGGGCTGCTGCTATTCCAGATTCTTAAAATGTGTAAAAGTGTTCTGCCTGCATGTGCATCTGTGTACCGTGGAGGTGCCAGGTATACCTGGGGTCTGGATGAGGGAGACAGGGCCCTGGAACTGGAGTTATAAGTGGTCAGCTGTGACCTGACATTGGGTGTTGAGAACTGAACCCGGTTGTCTGGAAGAGCAGCCCTGACCACCGAGCCTCCTATCCTGCTCCTATCCCAGACATTTAGTGTCCAGAATCTGGAGAGGAGATGGGAGAGGAAAGGGAGTTGGGAGAACCCAGGAAGAGCTGAACCAACCTCAGAGAGAGTGCTCAGCCTGGGCAGGGCTAGGGTCAGAGCTGGAGGTGAGTCTGGTTCTTGTTTTTTCTGTTTGTTTGTTTGTTTCTTTGTTTTTTCTGTGAACTGGGCTTGCTAGAGGGCTGAATGCCAGAAGGATGAGGGGGCTACTGGAGCCTGGCTCTCCACAGGATAGGTCCTGTGAGGATTGCTGGGACCAGATAGGAGAGGGGAGGTAGGAACATTCCTGAAGAACATTCCAGCACCCTCTGAGTAATGCTTGGCTCTGGTATTCCTCCTGGAGCCCCCTCGGAAACGCCTGGCCTAGGAACAATGAGGCTCTGAGCCCCAGCTCCTCCCCTCCCTTCACAAAAGGGGGGGTCTGGACCAGGTCCCTCAGAGTCCTCCATCAACATCAGCCCCAACAGGAGCTCTGAGCAAGACATCTGGTGGTTTCTTGCTTGGATGGTAGAGAGAGCCAGCCCCTGGTTATGCATCCCTCACCCTAAAGGCATCTGCTGTCCCGTCTAAAAATACCCGAGGCTGCCTCCTCCTTCCCGCCCCTTCTGCACATGGGGTCTGGGCTTCTTCCCATGCTCTCTGACCTCGAGCCAGCTCCCCAAGGTCTGACCACTCTCAATTCCCCAATGGGGATGTTTCTTGGTGCCTTGGTTTCTCTTTTGCCACCTTCCTGGCCGCCGCTCCATTCTAGGGACGTCCAATGCATGCCAGGCCCTGGGGTGTTGCCAACCTCTCCTTTCAGGACCTCGTCCGGGACCCCGCCCGGGACCCCGCCTTCTCTGCTGGCTTCCTGCTCCCACCTGCTGTGACGCTCACACCATTCTCTCTCTGTCTTCCCACCAGGAAATGTCCCTGGAGAGCCAGTTACTCCCCACTGGGTCCTGGATGGGGGGCTCTGGCTCAAGGTCACCCTGGAGGAGCCGGTCAGTACCTGTAACGCTGGGTCTCAGCCCCTTTGTCCTCCCCCAAATGCCGGGCGATAGTTTTTCTGGGGTTCTCAGAACCAAACCACTGTACCCTTAAGCCACTCCCTGTCAGGGTGGGTGGGGCAGGGAGACATCTAGATGGCATGAGCCTGCACACATGGAAGTCATTTGGGGCTCCCTCCCTCCCACCCCTTCTATTCCTGGCCCAAACCCTCTCCTCCACTAGAGGAGCATCCAGCCCCCCCCCGCAGCGCAACTAGGACATTGTTGAGTTCACAGTCTGGGCCCTGAAGCCTCTGAGACAGCAGGCGCTTTTGTGTATGTTCTGTTCTGTTCTGTTTTGTTTGGGTTGTGACAGGGTCTCACTATGTAGCCCTGGTGGGCTTCAAGTTGTGAGACATCATGCCAACTTCAGAAGCCTTTAAAAGAAGGACACCACAGTATCCTTCTTTGGCTACATTTGTGGGGAACATGTGACTCTGTGGACACACTGCTGTCCTGTAACATCAGTTTCCATGTCTGGAATCCACCTGCAGCAAGGAAGCAGTGGTCCATTCTCCTGATATCCCCAGATGCAAGCCCACTCCATTTTGCTTCTCCAGGACATTGTCCAACCTCCTCTCAACTCCTGCCCATCACATTCTCCCAGTACAGCCCCGCCCCAGCTGTGTGTGCCCTTATAGCTATGCTGCAAACTGAGAGGCCAGGGCTACCTTCCCCGTCTTCCCTAAACTACTCAAGCTAGAGAGAGTTTGACTCTGTATTTCCAGCCAAGAGATGGCAGTCCCACTGTCCAAACCCAAGGAGAGTATTGCCCATAGGTTCCCAGAAACCCAAACCTTCCAACTTTGGGACTTCCCTCGGGTCCCCCAGATCGCTGGGGTTTCTCTCAAGTAGCCAAGCAAAGCTGATTTGTGGAAGGGAGGGCTGGACACACACCAGGGTTCCCCTGATGTGGCCTCTCTTCTTGCCTGGCTTGATCTATGACAGTGGAGAAACCCAGAGGGCTCTGCTTTGCGTTAGCAGGCCTGTGAGGACAGGCGGAGCTTCAGCAGTGTTTTACAAACAGGCCCGTACTGCAGGATGGGATGGGGTACAGGGTAGGGGGTGGGGTGGAGGGTGGGGTTGGACACTGGACTAGAAGTGAAGGCAGCAGGGACTGCAGAGGACGGGGATCTTCCATCAACTCTACTGCCATTCTCCCGGTGCAAACATTCTCTCATAAAGCAAGGAGAGGCATTCCAACCATATAAGCTTATGTTTGGGGCCCTTGTGGGCCCCTGGCTTGGGAAGTGAGGACCATTCACCCTGTACCTGCTGCGGAAGGGAGTCCCTACAAGACTCTTGGCCAGGGTCCCAGCCCAGTGCATTTTGAGATAAAAGGGAAGAGCCAACAGGGTGGGGAAACATTTTAAAAAATACAGCAGCCTCTCCCCTGGAATCTCCTGGGCTGGTTCCAGTTCTGGCTTTTCACCAGGCTGAGTGGACAGCAGGAAGGAGGCAGAGTCAGTGAGAGAGACGTGGCCAGAGGACCAAGGCCAGCCCTTCTGACATCCAGCCACGAGAGTCAACACTTTTTTGGGGCCCAAGTTGGGGTCCTTGTTTACTTTGTGAGCTCAGTAATGATGCGGGCCTGGAGGCCACATGGAATTTCAGAGGACCGGGCGGTGTGCCAGAAGGACCTGGAGGTGGAGGAAAAAAGTCTGGGATCTGTCAGGAATGAAGGGAAGGCAGCAAGATGAAAAGATACATAACAAGGAACCAAAGAAGAGGGCAGGCCACAGGAAAGGCTCAGGAGCTCCTGGCAGGCTGTTTGTGCATCTTTAAGAGGTCATTGCCACAAACACAAGTCCTGGGAACATCTATGCTACTGCTGCCTCTATGAGCTTTCTCACTAGCCAGCTCTAGAACGTCCTACCTGTTCCCTGTCAGGCAGGTGGCCTAGAGGCCTAGTGTGTCACTGCATTCCTTCTCGGTCAGGTCTTGAAGCCAGATGTGCTGCTGGTGGCTTTAGTGGCTGAAGGCCAGGATCTCCTGCTTGAATTGGAGAAGAACCAGTGAGTACCAGCCCAGGACAGACCCTCTCTAGGAAGGATCGGTGCTGTAGTGGGAAGGCTGGGTGGGAAGAGGCATGAGTGACAGGGAGAGTGGCTAACATACTTGAGGTTAAAGTGGGCTGAGCCCAGCTGTAGGTATAAACACACTTCCCATCTCAAAGCCCCTGAGCAGCTTGGTAGCTCCCTGCTGGAGATAAGTGAGCACCACCTAGTGGACATTTCTTGATACGTTCATGCAAAAGGGAATCCTAGACAGGCTTCCACAGATGAGATGGCAGGGAGAAAAGCACTGTTCGCTACAAAGGTCAGTGTCCAATGATGACAGTTCATCTGGTGGGCTTGGAATGTCTCCATTCGCATGGAAGAGACCATGGAGGGAAGAACTTGGGGAGTCCCAGCGGGGCCAGATTGTGGAAGTCATTTTAGTGCTAAAAGTCTTGGACTGAAAGACCAAAGATTTTGAGATGAGAATCTGGTGAATGAGAATCGGGTATCTCAGGATGGTGCCCAGAGTGCAGGGTGAACAAGGCGGACTATAGGCTCCATCACCAACAGCGTCACTTTCTGTGAGCCTGTTTTCTTGTGGCACTGCAGGAAGCCCTCTGTTCATTTTATGCCCCCCCATAGAGTTAGACAGTCTGGGAACAAACTGTAACACCGTGCCAAACCACAGCTCCCGGGAGTGCCACCTCCTCATCCACTAAGCTGTCTCGTATGTTTGCGCACATACCAGCACAGCCAGCAAGGAAGCAAAGTTGAAGTGAGTGTAAGAATGACTGGATATACAACAGCCCAGGCCTTTGGGGGTAACCCGGAGGACAGGGGGAAGTTAGAGTCAGCATTTTCTGTAAGAAGAACAACTGAAGTCAGGCCTGTAATTCCTGCACCTTAGGAAGCTGGGCAGAAGGAGCACAGAGTCAGTTAAGGGCCTGCCAGGGTTATGGAGTGAGTTCAAGACTGGCCTAGGCAACTTAGCAAAACCCTGTCTCAAAATATAAAGAGGGGAGGGAGAGGGAAGGAGGAGGGAGAGGAGGAGGAGGAAGAGGAAGAAGAAGCAGCTACGTCCTTGGCGGGGTCAGGGAAGGAGCCTGGAGATGAAGTCATTATTGAGTAGAGTCGAGCTCCAAGTAAGGGGATGCTTGCCCAGGTAGGCTCAGCAGAAGCAGGTGGGGCTTCGTTTTTTCTGGAATTCAGGAAAAAGCACCACAGAGGGCCAGATGGAGACAGGGGACCCAGCCATCTGAGAACTGAAGGGCTTGCGATCTGCTCAGCAGATGCTCAGCAAAGGCAGGAGTACGCAGAGCTCAGGGCTTGGCCCCACGTGACTTCTCTGCAGAGGTGTCCCAACTCCTCCCCTCGTGTACCTGCCACAGGCTCTGCCGTCCTGAAGGTCCCTGCCCGCTCCTCCCATATTCCCATCCTACATCTAAACCCCCCAGGGCTCACTGCAGACCTTAGTCTTCTTTTAGCCTGAGGCTGTCTTCCAGGAACAGTGCACAGCCCTTTCCAGTCCTTTCTGACACACACCATGCCTCATTCAAAGAGGCTCAACCAGCACTCAGGGAGGAATGCCAGAGGGCAAGCTGCTGGAGACGGGTCTAAACTCAGTGACTCCTAAAACACCTGTTTCCCAGCAGGCTCCTGGCCCCAGGATACACAGAAACCCACTACAGCCCTGATGGGCAGCCTGTGGTGCTGTTCCCCAACCACACGGTGAGACCTGAGGCACCCCCTAAGTACCTACCTCGTCCCGTTTTGCATTCCTTCGGAGACTGTAGCAGCCTTCAGGCCTCCCTCCCTCCTTGTTCCTCCAACTTGAGCCCTTACTGAGATTCGGGTTTGAGCTCCTCCCTCTCTAGGATCATTGCCACTATCATGGGCGTGTGAGGGGCTTCCCGGAGTCCTGGGTAGTCCTCAGCACCTGCTCCGGGATGAGGTAAGGAGTATGGAGAAAGGGCCTGGACCTGTTGCAGAGATGAGAGCTCCTTCTCACACGCCCCTGCACTCTTCTGCCCTCTAGTGGCCTGATTGTGCTCAGCAGCAATATCAGTTACTATCTGCACCCTTGGGCTTCTGGGGACAAGGACTTCTCAAGCCACAAGATCTTCCGGACGGAGCAGTTGTTCACCTGGAGAGAGAACTCCAGATACAAAGCAGGAATGGCCAGTCTTCCTCATGTCCCCCAGAGCAGGGTAAGGGGCTTCAACTAGAGTGGGCATGGTCCTTCCAACCAGAGGAGACAAGAATGCAGGCCCTGGATGGGGCCTCCCCGTTTTAATCCGGAGGCTGAAGAATCACGTTTGAACAAAAACTTAACTGTTCTTTCTGAGAATTGTGGCTGGTGGCCAGGACTCAAGTCAAGCAGCCTGACCCTCATCATTTACCCCTCCCAGGTGAGGCGAGAGGTCCGCAGGAGCCCCAGGTACCTGGAACTGTACATAGTGGCTGACCACACCCTGGTGAGGAGAGACCTAAGAGGTCTGCCTGGGCGGGGCTGGAGCCTGCTCAGCCCCATATGACCCAGGATTTCTGCCTTCCCAGTTCTTAGTCCGGCATCAGAACTTGAACCACACAAGACAGCGCCTCCTGGAAGTTGCCAATTGCGTGGACCAGGTTGAGTGGTTAGGGCGCTGAAGGGTGGGAGTGAGGTTTTGCGAAGCCCCGGCCCTGGCGCTGAGGGTGCCTGATTCTGGCCTCGGCTGGTCTCTTCCTCAGATTCTCAGGTCTCTGGATATTCAGGTGGTATTGACTGGCCTGGAAGTGTGGACACAACAGGATCACAGCCGCATCACGCAGGACGCAAATGCCACCCTCTGGGCTTTCCTGCAGTGGCGTCGTGGGCTCTGGGCTCGGCGGCCACACGACTCCACGCAACTGCTCACGTGGGTGCCCTTTTGACACACACGGGTGGCAGGGTGGCCCTTCCTCCCGCTCCACCCAGTCACACCCTGCTCTGACGCCCCCAGGGGCCGCACCTTCCAGGGCACCACGGTGGGCCTGGCGCCTGTGGAGGGCATGTGCAGAGCCGAGAGCTCCGGGGGTGTGAGCATGGTAAGCTCCGCAGGAGACCTAGGCGGGGAGGAGCTTGAGCAGGGCTTGTGGTCCTCAGTGAAGCCCGGCTCCCCAGGACCATTCGGAACTCCCCATCGGCACAGCGGCCACCATGGCCCACGAGATAGGTCACAGCCTGGGCCTCCGCCATGACCCCGACGGCTGCTGCGTGGAGGCAGACGCAGAGCAGGGAGGCTGCGTCATGGAGGCAGCCACAGGGTACGCACAGAAGGTCGGTGCCACCGGACCTGGATGCGTCGCCTGCGTTTCTCTGGTTACCCCTCAGCTCCCTCTTCTGTAATGTGGGGGTGATAAAAGGCTAAAGTGGAGGAGTCTCTGGATGATTTTCGGACTAGGGTACTGCACTCCTGATCGTTGGTCCCCTTGGGGCCTGGACTGCCCGATCTCGGCCGTCACAGCCTCCTGTGTCAGCCTCGGTGTCACAGGTTTCCTGTGTGATTACGCAAGTCCTTTACCCTCTCCTCTCTAGACCACTCACTTAGCTCAGAAGGTAACCGCACATATTAGCAGCTGTGTGGCTAACCCCAGGGACCAGAGTGCAATAGCAGCCAGATCTTAGGAGGTGGTTCCCACAGGCCAGACGGTCCCCGCACCGTCGATGCCCGCCTCCTTCCACAGGCACCCGTTCCCGCGCATCTTCAGCGCCTGCAGCCGCCGCCAGCTGCGTACCTTCTTCCGCAAAGGGGGCGGTGCGTGCCTCTCCGATAACCCGGGCCCGGGGTTCCTGGTGCTGCCCACGCGCTGTGGAAACGGCTTCGTGGAAGCAGGAGAAGAATGTGACTGCGGTTCTGACCAGGTCAGGTTAGCATCCCGGTCCTTGGGGTCTAAAGCTGGCTCCTGCTCCCACCCCCCCCCCCAGGCGTGGCTTGCTGCGCCATCACGTGTTCTGTTCCCTCCTTTCCTACTCCAGAGGTGCCCAGACCCCTGCTGCTTTGCCCACAACTGCTCCCTGCGTGCAGGGGCGCAATGCGCCCACGGCGATTGCTGTGCACAGTGCCAGGTGAGGGACAGGGACACTGGGGAGCCGCCTGTTGATCTTAGCTTCTAGTCCTCCTGCTGAGTGTGAGCTTGACCCTGTGGGTGGTCGTCATTTGATGCTTCCTCGGGCTCTGGGCAAAAATATCAGACTCTGTTGTCTCTGCCTTCCCCCAATGGGTCACCCATGTAGCTAAAGCCCGCAGGCACGCCTTGTCGTCCCGCTGTGAATGACTGCGACCTTCCTGAGTTCTGCACGGGAGCCTCCCCACATTGTCCCCCAGACATTTACCTACTGGATGGCTCACCCTGCGCCAAGGGCCGTGGCTATTGCCTAGATGGCTGGTGTCCCACGCTGGAGCAGCAATGCCAGCAGCTCTGGGGGCCTGGTGAGACCACATGCTCGCCTTGGGACCTGCAGTTTTCTACTGTGGGCAGCTCTACGCATGGAACAAAGGCCCGAACTGCCCAGCTTCTTCTATCCCCAGGATCCCAGCCTGCTCCGGAGCCCTGTTTCCAGGAGATGAATTCCGTGGGGAATTCGCAGGGGAACTGTGGCCAGGATAGCGAGGGTAGCTTCCTTCCTTGTGCACAGAGGTGAGGTGTGGCAGCCAAGAGGCTACAGCTACAGAATGGGGCAGTGCACATGGAGCACGTGACCACCTGCCATTTCCTCCCCAGGGATGCTCAGTGTGGGAAGCTGCTGTGCCAGGGCGGGGAGCAAAACCCATCTGTGCTGGGGCGCGTAGTGACTATAGATTCCACAATACTCCGAGAGGGTCACGAGGTGGCTTGCCATGGAGTGTTTGTGCTCCCTGATACTCATCTGGACCAGCCAGGCTTGGGCCTGGTGGAGCCAGGCACCCGCTGTGGACCCGAAATGGTGAGCCCTGCCTACCCAACCCCTCCTGGTCATTGAATCCTCCATACCAAAGTGCCCTCCTCACTGCCCAGTGGGCACAATGCTCATAGGTGTGCCAGCATAGGCAGTGTCAGAATGCTACCTTCCGGGAGCTGGAGCGTTGCTTGACTGCCTGCAATGACCATGGGGTGAGTAGCTAAGGAGTCAGGGTGGCCCTGGAGGTCCTTGATCCCGCATGACTCTTCTATCGTCTTCTTAGGTTTGCAATAGCAATCATAACTGCCACTGTGCTGTAGGCTGGGATCCACCCTTCTGTGACAAGCCAGGCTTCGGGGGAAGCATGGATAGCGGGCCTGCACAGCCTGCAAGTATGCCAGTGGGGTAGGAGCAGGCTGGCACCACCTCGATAAGCAGCCTGCCTGGGACTCAGCACCCCTGTCCTCCACAGACCCAGGTGCCTTCCCCGTGGCCATGCTCCTCAGCTTCCTGCTGCCTCTGCTCCCTGGGGCTGGCCTAGCCTGGTGCTACTACCAGCTCCCAACACGCCGTCAGCGCCCCCGGTGGTGCTACAGGAGGGACCCCGTATGCAATAGGTAGGCTCAGTGCCAGCCTCTGAGGGCTCAGGTCCCTCTTCCTGAGCCTGCCCCCGTGGCTCCTGGTTCTCAGAACTCATCAGGGCACTGGAGAGCAGGAACTACAGGGATCTGCCGCTGCAGGAAGCTGGGTGGAGTTAGTTTCCCTCTGGATTTAATGAGAGCCCATAAGCAGTGGGAAGCAGTCCATGGCGTATGTCAAGGTCCTGACCAACACTCAACGGTGCTGCGCTTTCTTCCCTTCCCCCCATAGCCCCTGTGGTTCTCCTCTGTGTCTCCCAACAGCCCATGGCCTCACCTTCATTCTGCTGCTTTGTTTGTATTTTTGTTGTTGTTCTAAACACATTCAACCCCGGCTGTGCTCTACTGTGTCCCTGAAGACTTCTCTAGATCCTTCTCAGGAGTTTTCAGCCATCGGCCTCATCCTTTGCCGGAATCACTCTGTTGCCTCCTTTACGTTCCTTGGTGTGAAGCCCAGCACACCTTTGCCCTCCTCCCCCTGGTGTGAAGCCCAGCCTCCTTCACCCTCCTCCCTCTGGGGTGAAGCCCAGCCTCTTTCACCCTCCTCCCCCTGGTGTGAAGCCCAGCCTCCTTCACCCTCCTCCCTCTGGGGTGAAGCCCAGCCTCCTTCACCCTCCTCCCTCTGGGGTGAAGCCCAGCCTCCTTCACCCTCCTCTCTGGCCAGCTATGGCGCTGACTGCTCTTGTGCCAGGGCTCAGTGCCCTTGTCCTCTGCAGACCAGGAGGCTGTAAACCCAGGTCTTTGACTGGCAGGCATGCTACATGATAACAAGCATGGTCCACCGAGTGCTGCCTGGCAAGTCAGGCACATGAAGTCCCTGTCTGGCAGCCCGAATTTGGAAGTGTTCCGGGCCCGTTGAGGGAAAGGGCAGGTTTGGGCTGGAGATGTGAATAGAGAGTATCTCAGGCAGGGAAGGCACCAACAAGCCCCAGGAGTCAGTGAGAAGGGCCCAGAAGATCCAGGGAGTGATTGAGAAACAAGGTGGAGGGGCAGTTGGGAAGGGCACAGCAGTGGAGTAGTAGCTACACACTCACACACATCTCACACACACACACTCACACACACTCACACACACAAATACACATGCACACACTCACACTCACACACATCTCACACACTCACTCACACACTCACACACACAAATACACATGCACACACTCACACAAATACACACAGTCACACTCACTCACACTCATACACTCTCACACACCATACATACACACGCACACACCACACACACACTCACATATACACCACACATACACATACTCACACACACAAATACACATGCACACACTCACACAAATACACACAGTCACACTCACTCACACTCACACACACTCATACACTCTCACACACCACACATACACACGCACACACCACACATACACACACACTCACATATACACCACACATACACACACTCACACACACATCTTCAGGAAGGGGTCTAGGGAAGTGGGGAATATTTGGATGAAACAACAACAAAATAGCAAGGCCTTCTGGGAAAGGCACAGGCAGCCAAAGATGACTCAGAGCCAGGAGTAGCACAGCACCAGCCCCCTGAGGACACAGCGCCCGTCCCTTGGGGTACATCTCTGCACTGCAGCTCTAGGTGGGACCTGAGCAAGCCCTACATCTAGAGAGAGTGGGGCTGGATGGAGTCAGCTTGGGAGAAACACTAGGTTTGGAGAGAGGATGCCCACAGCCCTGGAGGTCCTAGGTCTCGAGTGAGAGCTGGACACATCAAGGATGAAACAGGAAGGTGGAATTTGAAGCCGGAGTGTGGAGAAATCAGTCATTAACAGAACTGGGACTGTGTGCTATGCTGTGGGGAAGCAATTCCCTTGGTCTTGCTCAGGTCACTTTCTCTCCTGAACTCTTATCTGTTGCATAGGCCCATCAATGGTCCCTGCAGGGCCCACCCTCTGGGCAGTGTTCACCCCATGGAGTCTGACTCTGTCACCACTGGAGAGCCCTCACCCCTGGGTGAGTGTGGCACTTGGGGCACAGAGAGGGAGGTAAGGGGTAGAACTTGCGGTCGATGTCCCCTTTTCTCACTGACCATTCAACACCGTCATCCCTTGGCTCAGCCCAGGGGCCTCTTACCAACAGTGTTTGCACCCTTCATCTCTTGCATGGCTTTCAGACCCTGAGAACTCTGTGCCTACCTAGGATCTACCCTAAGAAGCTTGTGCCACATGCCTGATCCCCAAGGTGATGAGGGACCCTGATGCCGCCCCCCCATTGCCTGGTCACCAGCCTCTTGCTGCCTACTACTCAGATCAATGGGCTTGTATCAGTAAGGAAACGAGACACACCCTAGGGAAGCTCTTGCCAAGAAGACCAGGATGCTGGAAGCCCTAGGGCCTGGGAAGGGAGAAACTATGGTTTTTCTGAGGACCTCACTGAGGGAGGACAAGTGGGCCACTTGACTGGCAGCCTGGAACCCCAGTCCTCAGTCTCTGCTACTTCATGCTTAGCAAGTCAAGTCCAGAAGCTAAGTTCCTGTCTCTGGAGAGGGAGGCCTCCTGAGGCCAGGGGACCAAGAAGACAGGTGCCCGCTGCTACTCCAGGAACCTGGGCCCCAAGGGCATCGCCAGCAAGTCAACCGAACTCTTGTACTTCTGATGGACCAGATGCTAAGCTCTTCCCCATCCACCCCAGGAACCCCAGAGCCGTATCACGTCATAAGAGCTGTGCTATTCTGAAATGCCAGAATGTATCTAAGCAATAAAGTCACAAGCTATATCAGTGCTGTTGGCTGCAATTTTCTTAAGAGACACTGAGATGGATCACCGGAAAATAAAAATATTGAAAAGTTTCTACACCCCGATAAGCCTCTCCTTCGATGCAGTAATCCAAAGCAGACCAAATCAAACCGAATTAGAAAAAGCCCACGTTTAATGGATACAATGCTCCTGGGTGGCCTTCCAGCCCCATCCCCTAGAGAAGACTGGAAAGGGAGACCGGAAAAACGAGTCTCTTCTCTGGGGACAGTTTAAATATGTGGGGGTGGTCTTGAGTATCTCTGCAGGGGGAGGCATTATTTGGCCGGCTTTCTGAGATGCAGCAAGGTTTAGAGGGGGAAGGGAAAGGGGCTTGGGTGGAACTCCCACCGTAATATTCCAGACTTCTTGGGTATATGGATGCCAGGGGCTGGGGTGCAGCTTTCACCATAACAAATGTAAGCAACAGCATCTGGGTGTTAATGGTGCACAGCTTTTATCTCAGCCCTCGGGAGACAGAGGCAGGCAGAGCTCTGAGTTCAAGGTCAGCCTGTCTACTAATCAAGTCCGAGAACAGCCGGGGCTATAAAGAGAAATCCTGTCTTCAAAACAGACAGACAAAAACAAACAAAACAAAATTAGTAATGCCGTGTTATAGACAGAGAAGACACGCTAAGAGAACATGTCACATGCTACAGATCTAATGCAAGAGGTTTGTTGAGGGGGAGAAGAGCGAAAGACCATCTCAGAGTGGGAACACATGAGAGAGAGAGAGACAGACAGACAGACAGACAGACTGAGGGACCGTCTCAGAGTGGGAACACATGAGAGAGAGAGAGGGAGGGAGAGATGGAGAGAGACAGACAGACAGACAGACAGTCTGAGGGACCATCTCAGAGTGGGGACACATGAGAGACAGACAGACAGACAGACAGACAGACAGACAGACTGAGGGGCAGAGGGAAGAAACAAGACAGAGAACTTTCTGGGTGGCCAGCTCGGGCTTGAGGCACACCTTCTGACTGTAAGCTGTATATAAACTGATGACCTGACTGTACCACAGTGAGATCAGGGGGAAGTTTTTATTGTAGATAAATAAAGAGAACAGCCAGAGACATCTGGAAGGGTCCAGAGCAGAGAGAGAAAGAAGCAGACAAGGCCAGGACTACCTGTGAGGGAGAGGAGAGTAACAGGGTACAGGGAACGGAGAAACCGCGGTGAGAAGCAGGAGCAGAGCAGAGGGAGAGGGAGACAGAGAGAGCACATCAAGAAACAGCAGGGTTATACCGAGAATGAATAGCTGGGAAGGGAAGCCCAAGAGCTGGAGGGGCTAGGAATGCTAGCACAACCTTTGAAATGTGGGGCACGCCTTTAATCCCAGCACTCGGGAGGCAGAGGCAGGCGGATCTCTGTGTGTTCGAGGCCAGCCTGGTCAACAGAGCAAGTTCCAGGACAGCCTCCAAAGTCACAGAGAAACCCTGTCTCGAAAAACCAAAAAAAAAAAAAAAAAAAAAAAAAGAAGAAGAAGAAGAAGAAGAAGAAGAAGAAGAAGAAGAAGAAGAAAGGAAAACAAAAGAAAGAAATGAGTAACAGGCATTTGTGATATGGAGGGAGCCTGGAGGCCGTCATTGTTGTAGGTTTGGTACCTCTGCCAACCTTTGGTAGCTACGGCACTGCTGCCCAAGCCTGGGCTGGCTACCCATCCCAAAAAGCCTGTCAGAAGAGCCTGGTTGAAAGGGGAATTCGTTCAGTGTTCCCATTGAGATCCAGGGAACACTGCTTCTGCTCCAAGTCCTGAAGTCAGATTAAAGTTTAAGTAGTGGCCAAGGATTTGAACACCCAGACAGTCCTGCCCACCGTGGACCCATCCTTATCTGGCTTCAGTCTCGGGTAAGATGGTCTGACAAGTTGTTAGAACTGTGAAATCTCTGTGGTGAACTGGCTGGCTCCTTTTTCCTCCCCACCACGAGATTCTGGGGAGCTCCCAGTTCAGCGTCAGGCATGGTACTGAGCTGGAAGCTGAATGTGAGGGCTCAGACCCAAACCACAAACTGGAAGGAGAGAGAGCAAACTGGGGGTGGCAGGCTTTGGGAGGCTTTGAAACCTCAAATCCTGCCCCGAGGGTTGCACTTCCTCCAGCAAGGTCACACCTCCTACACCTCCCCAAACAGGTCACCACCTGGGGACCAAATATTCAAATTCCCACAAATCTGGAGAACATCACATTCAAGTCACCAGGACGTGTAAACTTAGTGGTGTTTCTTCTATTAAAGACTATGAAACTTTTGTTCGTTTGTTTCTGTTTTTTTTTTAAGATTTTATTTATTTACTATGTATAGAGTGTTCTCTGTGTAAGCTTGCACACCACAAGAGGACACCAGATCTCATTATAGATGGTTGTGAACCACCATTTGGATGCTGGGAATTGAACTCATGACCTCTGGAAGAGCAGTCAGTGTTCTTAACCCCTGAGCCATCTCTCCAGCCCGAAACTTTTGTTCATGAGAAGGAATTCAAATGCTTTTTATCCTCCCATCTTGTAAAACTTTTATGCAAAATTTTAATGCCCCAATCTGGAAAACCTTGTTTTGCCCCTGCATTCTCAAACTTCAGTGACTTAAGCAAGTGCCCACCCCTTCCTGCTTCCCTTCATTTCCTTCACAGGGAGCCGTTTTTTGTTTGTTTTTCAAGACAGGTTTCTCTATGTAACAGTCCTGGCTGTCCTGAAGCTTGTTCTGTAGACCAGACTGGCCTCAAACTCACAGAGATCCACCTGCCTCTGCCTCCAGAGTGCTGGGATAAAAGGCATGCGCCACCACCGCCTGGCTGCGGAGTCTTTTAAAAGTAGCTAATTGATAAGGTCTGTGAGGTCAGACAACCAATGGTGAAAAGAACAGTTACCACCTTCATTAGGAAAAAATCCAAATGCACACTTCCCACAGTGTACTGCTCTTCAGAGCGCACCCTCTTGATGAGGAGGGCAGCTTTATCTCACTGAGGCACTTAAGCCTTGTTGGTGTCCTCTGTGTGAAACTGAGGATACTTCTAACAGATGAGGGCCCAAACCCAGGACTCTGTGTATGCTAGGCAAGCACTTTCCCAATTCATGCTTCAACTTCTGCTGTTTTAGATTTATTTTATTTTTAATCGTGTGTGTATGTGTATGTGTATGTGTATGTGTATGTGTATGTGTATGTGTATGTGTATTGAAAGACCACAGAATGGGATGTATGGTTTAGCAACCTTAATTGCAGAAGGGCTGTAAACCCACAAAAGGCCAAATTCCAGGCTGCTGACCACCTGTGAAGAACTGACCAGGGCGTCAGAGATGGGCAAACAAGATTCATGGGAAACAAGGAGATGATAACCACCATTTACTTAGGGAGAGATGATTAACTCATACCAAGGTTTGAGGAATTTACAACGTGTAGGTCAGGAAGACATCTACTTCCCCTGGTCAGTAGTCACGTACCCCCCCCCCGTCACAAGATAGGGACCCCTCCTAAAGGCTTGTGGTTTTTGTCTTTAAAAGCTGATTGTAACTGAACCTCGGGGCCAATCAGTCTAAAAGCTGACCAAGAGACCCATCTGCAGATGCCTAATTAAAGCCTCTTGCATGTTGCATCAATTGGCTCATGGATTCTTGATTCTTGGGGTGACGAATCCAGCTTGGGGACCCCTTCTCAATTCGGGGAACCCCAACATTTGGAGGTTCCACCGAGATCGTGTCTCCCAGACTCAACTCCGCTGCCAATTGGAGGTAAGACTGAGCTCACAATTTATGTTCTGTGTGTTCTCTCCTGTCTGAGTCTATACCGGTGTGGGACCTGTATTTGTGCTCTGGGGGGCCTGTATTACCCGGGTTTCGTTTCTGCGCCTCAGAGACCTGTATTGTGCCCTGGGATGAAAGTTCCAGGGACCTGTATTGTGCCCCGGACGGAGGTGCCGGGGACCTGTATTTGAGCCTCAGACGAAAGTCGTGAGGACCTGAAGTGCCTGCAGGACCTGTATTTCGTGCCCACACCGGAATCTCCTTTATAGCCGCGGCCTGTCTGTCGTCTTTCGTCCTGTTTGTCTTCATCTGTACCCATGGGACAATCTCTAACAACCCCCTTAAGTTTGACTTTAGATCATTGTCCAGACGTCCTGGACCGGGCCCACGATGAAGCGATGGAGGTTCGAAAGAAGAGATAGCGAACTTTCTGTTCTTCAGAATGGCCCACCTTTAACGTGGGCTGGCCTAGGGATGGTACCTTTAATATCACCACTATTTTGCAGGTTGTTCAACCCAAACCTCAAGGCCATCCTAATCAGGTCCCTTACATCGTTACCTGGGAAAGTCTGAGCCACAACCCACCCCCCTCTACGAGGCTGCAGCCACGGAAAGATCGAACAGCGGGAGGGAGCCGATGAGCCTGGGACCTCCCAGGTTTTCCCACTCAGCTCGATGGGGGGAGGGAACTACCAATACTGGCCCTTCTCATCTGCTGATCTCTACAATTGGAAAACTCATAACCCTTTTTTCTCACAAGACGCCCAGGCCCTAACAGGTCTCATCGAGTCCATCCTCATGGGATGATTGCCAGCAGCTACTACAAACTCTCCTCACAACAGAGAAGAGGCAGAGAGAACGTCCTGGGGCCAGACGGGAGACCTACCCAGCTTCCCAATGAGATAGAGGCACACTTTCCCTTAACCCGCCCGGAATGGGACTTCAACACACCACACGGTAGGGAGCATCACTATCGCCAGACTCTGTTGGCGGGTCTCAAAGGGGCAGGGAGATGCCCCACAAATTTGGCCAAGGTACGTGCAGTAACTCAAGGTAAGGAAGAAACCCCCGCCCGGTTTCTAGAGCGCCTCATGGAGGCTTACAGAATGTATACTCCTTTTGACCCCCAGGCCCAGGAGAGGGAAGCTGACATAATCATGTCATTCATCCGACAGTCAGCACCTGATGTACGCTCTAAGTTACAACTCCTTGAGGGGCTGCAGGGATATACCCTGCAGGACTTAGTAAAG